CGTATGGGTCAGATATATCCTGTGATCTGAGAACCAACTATCAGCTGGAATGTTAGGCATTAAAATCATGATCTTCATGGGTGTTAGACTTTCACGTGACGGTAGGAATGCTGCGCATCCTGAAAATGTCTTTGTTTGATTTGTGTCATTGTGATGTTGCTTCAACAGTATAATTTTATTTTGTCAGGATCCGTTTCGCTAAAGAAATGAGAACAAACATTTTTCTGTCAGCTGTCAGTTCAGCAGTTTAATGACATAATTGCCTCTCAAAGAACCACGTATACACTTTCTTTGCTGTTTTGCTGAAGGCCGCCACTGTGCGCTTAATAGGCAGCAACTGAGAAGCTGCCACTTAGCTCAGCAGAAGGACCTACAACAAGCTTAACTGTTTATTCTGTCCATTGGTACAAAAACTAAAGTGTAAAAACTCAAGGATTAAATAATTAGTGAACTTTAGAAGATGAATGTTTTTTTATCCTTGGAATGACCAGAGCCAGGTGAACTGGGTCAGTTGGCTCAGACAGAATTCAGGAGTTTATTTTTTTTCTATTTGGGACCCAAAATTAAGTTCTGTAAAAATATTTTGGCTAAATTTTCAGAATTTTACATGTTCACACTCTTAAAAATCTGAGAAGATAATTTAAGCGTTCAATATCTCCAGAAGTAGAACTCCAAAGCCATAGATAGATAGATAGATAGATAGATAGATAGATAGATAGATAGATAGATAGATAGATAGATAGATAGATAAATAAAATTAAAGCAGATCCAAGTGACTGAATGGCTTGATCAAAGGGCCAATTTTTTATTTACTGGCCCTTTAAGAACAATCCAAATGTTTTTGTCGTTTGCAGAACCGCAGAACCACAAACATGAGTGTGCAAAGGGGTCTGTATATTGTTATTATATGTGCAAACTTACAAGCTACTTCTACGATGTCTTCATATTGAAATTGAACAACAGAAAAGGCTCATTTTGCCGTGTTGAATGCTTCCATACATGTACTTGAAATGAACAGAGAAACTGAGAAACTGGTGATAATTCAACACACCTCACAATAAATCTAGTATTTGTCAAATGCTATAGCAACGAGACGAGTAAAACTGGATTTCAGAGCTGCACTAAAACCGGCAAAAGAGCAGAAGAGTCATCGCTCCTCAATGAATTTACATTTCATTTATTTGCAGAAAGAAAATTCTCTTCAGTATCTCTGTTGCTCTTAAGGTCACGTTTGTGTTGTCTTCACCTCCTCACTGTAGTCGGAGCTGTGACGGTGACAGAATATGAACTATTGGCACCAACAGGTATCATTAGATGGAGGCCACTGGAATGCTTCGAGGAGTGATGACTCTTTTGCATTGTTTTCTTGTGCTGCTTTCAGGAGTGTTGATCTCCTGTTTCACTTGTCACGTTGCTACGGCACCATAGATGTGTGCTGATGTATCCGTTATTCGCTACAGCGTTCATTGCAAGTATATGAGTATGTTATATAAGGGAACATATAATAAGGCAAAATAAGCCTCACGTGTTGTTCAAGGTTAACATGAAGAGTAGATGGAAGCAGCTTGTAACTTTGCACACATACTGTAATGAGAATAAATAGACTCCTTTGCAGACCAGCTTTTGTGGTGAGTGAGTCAAAATCAACATTTTGGCAAAACTGAATCTTGGCTTGCAGTATGTGCCACACGTCTAATTCTACTGATGTTACAGTCCTCAAAGTTGGTTAAATGTTGAAAAAAGGACGATATTTTTGTAGGTAATATGGATGCATCTATACGCTTACTCAAACTTCCAGGGGGCCTAACAACAGCCTCATTTGAAAATGTTTTTTCCATTTTCAAGGTCTAATAATTTAAAATTTGGAGCATCAATTTTTTTTTTAATGTGTCGCTCTTTGCCCACCTAATTGCCCTTCAGAAATAAATAACGTTTTTTTTTTCTGATTCTGACTCTGATTCATTCAATTGGTTGGATCTACTGGAACCAATTTTATATTACTGGAGATTGTGTACCCTTAAAACAGCCTCCCAGTTAGGATGTTTTTTGAGGATGAAAAAATAAAATTCTCAAAACCCAACGCAAATATTTCACAGATCGTAATTCTTGGGTCCCAAACAACACATAAGCAAACTCTGAACAAAACCTGAGATGATGGTGCAGCACCTTTACCTAAAACGACACCCACTGTTACCCAGCTGTGACCTGTTTCCAGTCTTTATGCTAAGATCAGCGTGTGTAGCCTCATATTCACCACACAGACATGAGCGTGATCGCCTCCTCATGTGTTTAAGATATCTGCTGTAACTTATTACACAATAACTGAGAAGAAGATTCATGTCAGAAGGACTCATTAAATCATGTATCTGTCCTGTGCTGCTCGCAAAGGTGCTCATGATTTTCAGCCAACAAATGTTTCATCCATTTTTCTGATCTGAATCACAGACGCCCATAAACTCATTTAGAGATGAGCTGCTGTCAACGTGCGCAATTATGCTCAGAGAAAGTGCGAGCGAGTTAATGTGTTGCAGTTGTGAAAGATGTTTGCTTTGGTTCAGGGTGATTACGAAACTGCTGCTGTGTGTGTGTGTGTGTGTGTGTGTGCGTTTATCAGTGTCCCAGGGCTACATGTTTCTACAGCGTCATAAACACACCCAGCTCGCCAATGCCACACCCTCCGCTGAGTGAGCGTTCCTTTAGTGTACCTGGAGCTGCAGCTTTCAGAACAAACAACGTGGGCTGTGGCTCGGGCGAGTCCAGGCGCGGTATTTTGTGTCAGAGAAGATTGCTCTCGGTGTCATTCTTCTGTTTTAGCACCTGAGGGGAAGGTTTTTTGCTCCTCTGCTGTCGTAACACTGAACACGGGGAAGTACACATGACTCAGTTCTTAATTTGGGGTAGAGGTAATTAAACTAATAAGCAGGAAATTTTCTTCTTATTTTGTCTAACACCGAAGCGTAAAGATCATCGACTCCTCAAGATGAAGACTGATTAGTTGTCAATAATATGTATACAACCAGTGATTAATTATGATTGCGTGCCATTTAGCTCCTGATAGAGTTCATATGAAGTGATTTAGAGATTAATAAGCCACTTAAAGGATATAAATCTAATGGATCATTTGATATTGGTTTATATTAGTTCCTTCTCTGGTACCTTATCATGTTATATTTATGTGCTTTTATTTACACACTTTATGGAGCGTTTGAATGACCTCTTTATTTGATTAATTGCACATAGTTCCTGCTTTGCTCCTCAGGATTTGTCACATTTCCTCACATTTGTTGCCCTACAATCGTGGCCAAATGTAACCTTTCAGTCTGTTAACGTGTCGACAAGATGTGTGACCTTAATTTCCCTGGAGGATAAGTAGAGGAGAGGAAGAAAAAAAGGAGGGGGATGAGAATATTGGCATGTAAAGTTAAACGACCGGGGGGGAAAAAAATCCAATGAACACAATCTGGGATTATATTTCTGTAGCAGTTGAAAAACGATGAGTGATAGGCCTCAGAGATAAAGATCAGGGAGATAAGGGGAGCTGTCATTTGACGTCAGGTAGAGGATACGTCTGATAATCAGGGAGCTTCTGTTGGCGCTGTATCAATCATACACACGCAAACATAATTTAGGAATGTGGATGTGTACAGTGAAATAAAATGCACAAACCGAGAGCGAGCGAAGCTAACACACCTCACTTTGCTTCAAACGGTGCCATTCTTATCAGCGATAAGGCCGGTTCCGGTTTCTGACCTTCTGAAGAGTCATAAATCACCAGCGATCATCCAGCTCCTACCGTAAACACCAGCTATTCTGAGGAAGGAAAAAACAAAACACAAACCCAGTGAACAGGCAGTTGGGTCACATGATTTAGGGATTCCAGCATGTCCAAGAATGAGATTTTGACTAATATTATCAGGGCATCTGCGTGACATGTGACCCAACATTTCTGAAACTCTGATTGAATTAGTTTGTTCTTGTGTTCAGCTACATTTCAACCTACCTTTTTACACTAACAAAAAAATAATCTACGTTCCAAGCAATCAGCTGATCTTTGCTCAATCTTTCCAAAGCGTGCTAATGAAGACTTAAGTAGATAACAGACCTGTACAGGCACCACATTCTTCCCCTGCCCTTTTCCCTTCCTACTCTCCCCTCTTCCACCATTATTTGTGCCTTTTATAGTACTGTATGTGGGCAGTTTCTTTCTCCCCTCTCCCTTTTCTGTCTGCCCTCTTTCTCTGTGCGCAGACAAAGCCGGCGTTGTCTGCTGCAACGCTGTGTTGCGAGGACAAGCTTTGGGTCAGCGTCTCATGGAATGCCTTGAAAATCATCTAGTAAGGGAGTGTGTTAATGTGCCGGCCTGTGCCCAGTCCGGTCCCTGGCTGCCTCTGGCTCCGTGACTCATCTAATGAGTCATTACAGAAGACACAGGCCCCGCGGTGATGCTATGTGATGATATGAGCCGCTATGCCAGAGGGGATTGCAGTTTTAAAACTTTAATTTCTAGTTTCAGATTTCTGGGCCGGCTACTGAATTGTAAATAGACCAGTTGCTGCTGCATGTTTCTGTTTCTTCTGTTGCTTTGGTCCAGATTTGTGTCTTTATCTCACTTTCTGTCTGTCCTACTTTATGTCATTGTATTGCTTTTGTTGCCTGGACTGAACTTTCTTGTTAACTGACTGGATGTTTGCTGTCAGTCACTGGGTAGTTTGCCAGTATTTTCCCTCTTGTGTGACTTGTTGTTTACGTCTGTTTCCAAGGGAGTTCAACATTGCAGTGTTATACTCTTGAGATTTAGTGTCAGGAGCTGCCTGAAGCACCATATTTTCTGCAGCCTCAGGCATCGCTCACCCACTGAAATTACACTCTTGACCTGCTGCAAACTAACAAGGAATTAATGGCCCCTAAGTGAAGCAAAGTTGACAATGCAACTTGAGGTGTGGTGGGATGGTGTGTGTGTGCCAGGAGAGGCCGGTGGGAGGGGCGGCTACAAGTGGACCACATTCAGCCCCGCAGGAGTCAGTCAGTAGCTCTCTGCACCTCCTGCAATAAGGACTCACCTCTCAGTAGTTCAAGGAGCTTTTTTCATGGAGGGCTGCTTCACCTGTGGACTGTGGCTGGTCGCCTTTTTCTTAGGATGTGGGCGACTGTCGGCTTTCAACCTGGACACGGACAGTGTCCTGAAGAAGACCGGAGACCCGGGCAGCCTTTTCGGCTTCTCCCTCGCCATGCACCGGCAGCTCGACCCGGTGGATAAGAGAATGTAAGAGTTTTTGTTTTTATGGGGAAAATATATATTTGAAGGCTGTTAACTGACTTCGGCGTCGTGTTAACTTTGGAAAACGCCTTTGTGTCTGTGCATAACGTCGTGTAATTAAAGTGTCACAGCAGTGTGAGTTCATTTCGGGTTGTTAGAAACGTTACGAGAGAAGAAAATTCCCAATAAACCTACTTTTAAGAGTTATTGAAGTTATAATATCGCGAGAGTTCTAAAGGCTGAGCTCAGGTACGTCGCAGGTAGCTTCAAAGCAAGTTTAAAAACAAGACTGTACTGTACCTTTAACATACCTGTTGAGTTGAACTGCTTGTTAATGTTTTATTATAGGTGACTTGTTCGTTGTTTTTTAAAAGTATTATTTTTATTAGACCTCCACAGATGTTTTTGTGTGCACGCGCTCACGGGTATGCGCAAACTTTTTTTTTTTTGCTGAGGTGGTTTTAGGTTTTTTTTTTTTTTTTTTTTGCTGAGGTGGTTTTAGGTGAAGCTGTGCCTCAGAGTTTAGGGCCAAAAACATGCCACAGAGTCACTGCTGGTATGTTAATGTACCTTGCTTTGCAGGAGGTTTGTCATCCTGCATAAAGGCTAACTGCCATCAATTGGCCACTGATTTGAATGGCCTGATTATAAACTGAGCAGCCTTTCATCTGGGAAGCTGTTGTTCTACGAGACATGGGCGTTAGTTTGTGTCTGAGTGTCCTCCCCAAGGAAATATTCAGCATCAAAAGCTCAATTTCCTGCACATGAGATAATTTTCATGCGCCGATTTGTGCATTCTTCTGCATCGATTTACAGTGACTATTTTTATATAAAGAAAATGTTTCTGTTGGGATGAAAAAATGTTAGAAATATCAAGAGTAGCCTTTTCCCTTGCATCCCCTCTGAAATTTGTGCTGCAAGGAACCACACAGAACCATGTTTTGACAGTATTTGTAATTGAGCAACTTCAAATTGTTTTGCATTTCCAGAATCAGTGATTGGCAAAGTATTCAGAAATTTCATTAAAAGTAGAAGTTGCAATGCCACACTGTAGAAATATTCTGTCACAAACAACTGCCAAATGCATGTATTTGAGTATAAAGTGAAATATTCCTCTATGACGTGTTCTGTAATGGAGCATGAACTAGAATACTACGGGAAAGTGCAGTTATTGCAGTACTTCAGTAAATGTACTGTAAAACATTGTAAATTAACAGCGGCGCAGACAACACGAGTGCTTCTAGTAGGGGACAAAATCAAATCCTGGGATTTATTGTGCAAAGTGCTTCTATTACACAGGAACGATCAATACTTAGGCTTTCCCACCTTGCGCCCGGTCGACAAAGAGGACAAAACTGTGCAGCGGTTTGTGTTTGTTCAGCTAATACCTGAAGGTCGCAAACCAACAGTAGTATACCCTGCGCCACTAAGACTCCCAGTTATTAAGAATCTGCAGGTCTTTAACCTCCTCCGCAGATGTTAAATGTAGTTTTTAAACTTTTACACACTTCTGCTACTGCTGCTGTGCATTCACACAGACACACACACACACACACACACACACACACACACACACACACACATAGTGCCAGTTACTGTCCTAGTTCCCAGCTGTGTCTAAATGAAAGACACATGGTGATCGGCACGAGACCAAAGCTACCACACAAGCCCCCCTTGCTGCAGGTTGTAAAGTTAAATACAAGAAAACAGAACCCAGTTGGATTTTGTGACTTGGAAAACAACACATACACGCAGTAATAATGTAGGCTGAACCCTAAATGGAGGTGTCAGCTGCTGAACCATTTGATAACATTGATAATAGTTAATAACAAGCTTTTCAAGCTATTTTTAAGCAAAAATGTCAATCATTTGCTTGTTCTGGATTCTTAAATAGGGCTGCAGGGTGGCGCAGTTGGTTAGCACTGTTGCCTCGCAGCAAGAAGGTTGCCGGTTCGTGTCCCGGTGGGAATCTTTCTGCGTGGAGTTTGCATGTTCTCCCCGTGCAGCGTGGGTTCTCTCCGGGTTCTCCGGGTTCCTCCCACAAGGTCCAAAAACATGTTGAGGTTAACTGGTGATTCTAAATTGGGTAGGTGTGAATGTGAGTGTGCTTGGTTGTCTGTCTCTAAGTGTAGCCCTGTGATAGACTGGCGACCTGTCCAGGGTGTCCCCTGCCTTCGACCTAAGTCGGCTGGGATAGGCTCCAGCCCCCCCGCGACCCTCGTGAGGATTAGGTGGTGTATAGAAAATGGATGGATGGATGGATGGATTCTTAAATAGAAAAATATGCTTGCTTTCTTTGTCATGTGTGATGATGAAGAGTTTTAGACTGTTGGTCAACAAGAAATTAAATTAAGTTGTGACTAATACCCATTTGTCACTATTAGCCAACATTTCTGAACTTAAATATTAATTGATTGGCCAAAAAAGCCAAAAGAAGCAATATATTCACCACAATCACTCATTAAATACAATATACTGTATTTTCTATGTAGGAGAATACTTTGTTGACCAAGTCTATTGTCAGCTGAGCGTGAACCATCAGGGGCACGTTGCGTTACTTGTGTGTGTGTGTTTGGATGTGTGTGTGCACGTTGGAGCCATGTTTGCTTTGCGGCATTCACGCTGCTGTCACAGAGGTGGAATGTGCTCTCACTGTGGACGCTGTACATGTGTGTGTGTGTTCGCGTGAGTGCCTGTTTGGTGTGTTTTAATGGTGCTGATGCATGCTGTGGCTGAGCACTGAGGCGTTGCCTTGTTGTCAGTCAATTGGAAGACTGTCAGAGGGCTCAGAGTGCTGCTTGATACATTCCTAACCTGAGGCAAAGAAAAAAAAAAGAGAAGAGAGATTTTTTTTTGAGCTCGCTATGATTCTCTTTCCCCATAAGAGTTCACAACAGTTCAATTGTGCTGAAGTAAGTGTTAACGTGTGTGTGCTTGTGTCCCCACATATTCGTTTCCTCACTGCTGGGTGTGTGTTCACTGTGACTCACAATCTTTTGCCAGCCATGCATGCCAACTTCCAGTCAGACTTATACACGCCACAGTTTTTTAAGTCCTTTTACGTGGAGGGATGAGTGATACATGTACCTGCTGGAGAGGGCAAGACCTGTACATGCATGTGTGCACGCATCTGTGCCTGCGATTGCGTGTGTGTGTGTGTGTGTGTGTGTGTTACATTCCATGCTGGTTCATAATTGCCAGATGGAGCTATCTGTCTGTATAATAAAATCAAGAGAGAAAGTGCAAAATGCATGAGTGGGGAGAGGAGAGAGGAGGAGCGAGAGTGTTGGGAAGTTTAAGAGCTTGGACTGTGTGTTGAGAAACGTGTGGAAGAAAGCAAATTCATATGCAGGTTTTTTTTTTAAATAAATGGATGCAGCAGGAGGGTAAAGGATATATCGACAGGCTGTGAGGGAGAGAAAAGCGAGACATGTCAGCAGGTTCAGTAATAATGTTGCCCTGTGTGAAAGAAATGAGACTGGGAACGACTGTGAAGTTTAATACTGGGGTGAGCTTTGTGTACAGTGTATGTGGTCTGTTCGTTTAACAGAGAACAAGCAGGAGTGTCAGATTTAGTTCTTTCCCTTCAGGTTAGTTAAGGTTATCTGACATCAAAGTGAAAGGAGCCGAAGAAAAGAAAGAAGCGATGGCTGAAAGAATGCCCATAAATCAGTTTTACATCTGGGCACCAAATACAGGCATTTTTCAACCAGTCGGATTCTGCGATCCTGGCAGACGGATGGAGAGAGAGGTTGGGTAACACATGTCATGAACCTCTGGATCTGCAACCCATTTGGAAATGAACGCCTCTAGTTGATAGGGTGCCACTGGCTGTTGCTAGGCGACGGGCTGTGCCCTCGTCGGCAGGCAGTTCGCTGCTGGAAAAAAAAAAAAACACAACACACCTCTTTCAATGGGATGACCACTCAGCACTGGTCGCTGTGTTGTCCTGCGCAGGGAGAATGTGTCCCACCACTACCGCCAGCATGTGTGTGTCATTGTACGCTTGGACGCAGACGTACACACCCTCCCTCTGTGTTTGTCTTAGTCCTTCCTGTAAGTCTAAGCCTGCATGTTGGGGCTTCCTCTGCTGGTGGTAAATGATTAGATAACAGCTGGGTCACTGTCTGTGTAGCAGCAGGTCAGCTTTATCACAGTGCCGCTCGCTGACACGTCATGTCAGCACTTCACCCTTCCGTTGCCAACGATTATTCAAATGTGTTGCAATAAAGATAGCGGGTGTCCAATAATGCATGAATCATCTCGCAATTCAGATTCCTATGTAAATATTTGAGGAATTTGAATCATATGTAACAGGGAGTGTAACTTCACACGTCCATGCACTGGTTGCTCTATTGTTAGTTGCATTTATCCCAAAGAAAACAGCTGAATGAGGCAGAGTTGACTATGGGTTGATTTTCTAGACTCCACACCCAGTATCCCTGAATTTCCAGACTTCAGTATATCGTTATGTCTTTTTTTTCCCTTCCATTTTCCCGACTTCATGTGTCTCACAGGATAATGGGAGTGGAGATGTTCCCACCTGGGATTCACTGTGAGTTAACCTCTCTTTGAAGTGATGACTCATTCGAAACAGGCTCAATTTTAAAGGCCCCAATAATTTCACTTAGTGCGAAAAACGTCGTCTCTTCGGTGCGGTAGTGCACGTAGAGATGAAGAGATGACTCCAGATTGTGTGGTATCAAATGTCAAGTGTCAGTCACTCCCCTTATAATTTACAAAAGGCCGGATTGCACACTTAACGGCCGGATAATGGCTCAAATTATATAGTGCTCTGGTTTTCGAAGCAAGGCCAAACCAATCCAGTGGTTAAAATGGGACAAACAGTGTTGCACTTGTCTGTTATGCAGTCTGTTTTGATTGCAATCACTTGTCTTACTGCAGTTTATAGTAGAGAAATGGAATGACATTTTGACAGGGTTAGGAGACACATTTGAATACATCTCAGCATTAAGAGACTGTGTGTAGCGATGGGAAAAGTTGTAGCAAGCCATATTTCTTAATTTATTGTCCTTTGGTAATCTCTATCATGCCTGCTGAAGTCGATATCCATCGTGATTTATACTGTCTTTATAGTTTGACATCATCTCCCATATGCAGTCAGCGTTGTTGACTCTCTAGATCTACACTGCAAACATGCTGATCACATTAGACCTTCTCACTCTGCTATACGTCTCAGTAAATTCCCTCCCAGATGGTATGTGTGCACGTCTGAGAATGCTTTGTATTCCAGCTAAAAATGGCTTTGCTTAATCTCATCTGGCGAAGACAGTGCACTGTCCAACGTTAACTCTGAAGGTCAAAGCAAACCAGAGAGAGAGATCCTGGAACATACACGGTGGAGAGAGAGGTCTCGGTGTGTGTGTGCCCCACTGTCAACCTGCACAAAGCATCATTTCAGAGGATGACATTGTTGACTTGTTTGATTTACTCTGTAGGAGACCATGGGAACTGGATGCCATCGTCGAGGCTCGGGTTTGACATTTGCCCTTGTCCTTGGCCCACAAAGGCAGCGTCTGTGTTTATATGTGTGTGTGCGCATGCAGGGAGACAGAAAGCCCGGTTCAATCATCCACAGCAGGCGGCTGAAAGGGGTCTTTTGACTTTGTTGGACTGTGAGGACATGGAACATCAGTTCGGTGGCGGATGTGCATGTGTGTTTGAATGTGTTGGCTGTGCGGCGCTGCGGCCTGGAATGTGTGATACGATGGAATGTGCAAGTGGAAGAAATTGCTCCTCATGCTAAGTCAGAGATACCAGAACCGCTTTCACAGTGAGCATTTTTTGATTGTGTTGCAGGTTGTTGGTCGGCGCCCCCAGAGCAAAAGCCTTGAGTGGTCAAAAGGCTAAAGTGACAGGAGGACTGTACAACTGTGACATGAGCTCCACCTCTGCTGGATGCAGCAGAATTAACTTTGATAATGACGGTGAGATATCTGCTTTATTATGATTTTGGCTTTTTCGGATATCTAAAATTTGGCTCACATTATCCTGTTTGTGTCTATTTTTTGTTGCTGGTGTTTGTCCCTGTGTAGAGGATCTGAGTAGGGAAAGCAAAGAAAACCAGTGGATGGGAGTGACAGTCAACAGTCAGGGGCCAGGAGGCAAGATTGTGGTAAGACTGTCTTTGTATTTGAAAATCATTAACTTTAACTCATTTTTCCAACAGTATTATTAAGCTGCTCAAACAGGCATCTTAAAATCAACAAGAAATTAACAACAGTTGCTAACCGTGTGCATCTGTTTCCTCGTTAGACCTGCGCCCATCGCTACCAGCGACGGACCAATGTGAACACGGCCCTCGAGTCTCGCGACATCATCGGTCGCTGCTACGTGCTGAGTCAGGACTTGACAATCGATCCCATATCGAGCGAAGACGGGGGCAACTGGCATTTTTGCGACAGCCGACCCAGAGGCCACGAGATGTTCGGCTCCTGCCAGCAGGGCCTCTCTGCTACCTTCGACAATGACTACCACTACTTGATCTTTGGAGCTCCTGGAGCTTACAACTGGAAAGGTAGCTGGTCCAGTGTATATGGATGTGTGACATTCAGGCAGTAAAAACAACTTAGATGTAAAAGGCTCTACCGGCACATGTTCCTCATTTATTGTGTTCAGGCTGTATGGTAGAGGGACTGACAGTGATGCTTTTTTCAGTCATCTGTTCAACATTACTTTTTCAATTAAGACTACTGTGTTTCCAGCTTTGCCTACTTTTTTTTTTAATCTCCGTCTCTTATTAAGGCGTGGTACGCTTGGAACAGAAGAATGACACTTTCTTAGAGATGGGCATCTATGACGACGGTCCATTTGAGGCAGGAGATGAGAATGAAAAGGACCCTGACTTGGTCCCTGCTCCTGCCAACAGCTACCTGGGTAAAATGTTAAAGCCTCACCGTGTCCCGTTTACACAAAGAAGCATATTCAAGCATCTAACCGAGTCCGTCCCTTCTCTCCCAGGTTTTTCACTGGACTCAGGGATGAATTTGGTCAAGAAGGGCCAGCTGACGGTGGTTGCGGGAGCTCCCAGAGCAAACCACAGCGGAGCGGTGGTGCTGATGAAGAAAGGCGACTCCACGAGCAACATCCTGCTGGGAGAATACACCCTGGAAGGGGAGGGGCTGGCCTCGTCTTTCGGCTACGATCTGGCTGTGCTGGATCTCAACAAGGATGGGTGAGTGATGCACAACCTGAAAGTTCTGCTGTGAATAGTGCTGCCATGGTCTTTATTGGGACTCGTTGACAAGAAATGCTCTTGCTCGTTAGCTGGCAGGACATAGTGGTGGGAGCGCCTCAGTACTTTGAGAAGGATGGAGAAATTGGAGGGGCTGTGTACATCTACATCAACAAAGCTGGAAAATGGGACAAAATCACGCCCACCAGAATAGACGGACCTCAGGACTCCATGTTCGGCCTTGCTGTGGAAAACCTGGGAGACATCAATCAGGATGGTTTCCATGGTGAGGATGCTGTATTTGTGCGTGTCTGCTAATCATTCTTGATGCCTCCTCTGTGAACAACACGTACGACAACACCGTGTCTGTGTTTCTTGCTGTCAGATTTTGCAGTGGGAGCTCCTTATGAAGATAACAGTGCCGGGCATGTTTACATCTACCATGGATCAGCCACGGGACAAATCTCTAAAAAGGCTTCACAGGTACATAATGAACTGGGAGACAAACTTAACTTGTTCACGTGTAAGTCTGCTGCAGCGTTTTGTTTTGTATCGTCAACACATGTAGATTTTGTTCAAATGTATAGCGTTTGCATCTAAGTACACCTCAAGCAACTGTATTCTTCAGTCATAGAAAGATGGATTAGTTAAAGTTATTTTGACTGTCCTGCTTGAATCCTGAAAGGTTTCTAAGCAGCATACATCATAAAATAATAAACACAGATCTCTACTAGAGTCTGGTGGTAGGAGTGGCTCTCAAACTTTTTCTGGTATTCCCCACTTCAAAATAAGTTCACCACCACCCCCAATTTTTTAATCAATCATTATCTAACTAATACAAAAGGATCCAAGAATTTTAGGGAAAATAAAGCTCACGACTGTATTAACAAATTCTTTAATGTCTGTATTCTATGCATAAATCATATTCAGTCATGCTTAGTTTAACAGATTCGTGCCATATTTATCCTCTGGTTGCCCACGATCCCCCTGCAGCGGCTCTGTTTTCCTTAATTAGTAAATGCTTTACAGTGATTTGCTTTAACCAAAGTGTTCTTCTTGCTTTAGATGCTGTCTGGCCAGCCTTTAGGAGTGAAGCTGTTCGGTTACTCTTTGGCAGGCAACATGGACCTAGATAAGAACTCCTATCCCGACCTGGCTGTCGGATCTCTGTCAGATGCTGTGTTTGTCTACAGGTGAGCAGGCTCGTACATTAATCTGATCACGTGTCTCTCATCACGTTAACTGAGATGCTAACCAAGTTGTGTCATCCCAGAGCCCGTCCAGTTATCAGCATCAAGAAGAAAATCACGTTCTCACCGAGCGAAATTGACCTCACCAAGAAGAACTGTGGCAACAGCTTCTGGTACGTGTGTTTCTGATGAAAGCTTGAACCTGTAAAACGATATTTGCCTTTAATCATTATGCTCAGCCATCATTTCACTAAATTCATTCGGTGCCTCCTTTAATTTTAAGTGCTATTTCTAATCGTGGAAAAACTTTTCTTTGTCCACAGCCTGACTGTTGAGGCATGCTTCTCCTACACCGCCAACCCCAAGAGCTACTCTCCCAGACTGAGTAAGCTGAGCCACATTTTTTTTTCCTTTTAGTATCTTTTTAAACCCTTTTCAGGCATTGGATATGTAGCATTAATGCTTCCTCCATCCATTAACGTGACTGCATTCCGTCAGTCCGACAGATGTTACTTCTCTGTTAATGTTTTATTCAGACAAACCCACCACAGTGCCGGAGAGAGCTGCGGTACACACACAATATTTGGTATTTCAAAAGCTCAGAGGAAAAACTCCTACAAACAGCTGAAATAACAAACTAAACTAAAACACTCTAGATTACATTCATTCTCACAAATCAAAGCTGTTGTGTGCCTGTTTCTATTGCGGTGAAGTTTTATTTTATTGGATATTGCAGTTTGGAGTCTAATAAATTTGTAGAACAAAAGTACAAGAGGAAGGTGTTTTGTGGTTTTGGCACATAAACTGTACCTTTTGCAATTCTTTGGGATGTTTTGGATGCTGACATGGGAAGAAACCATCTTGAAATCACTTCACACTAACGTAAAATGTTGCTTGTGCGCTCATTCAGACATAAAACTGACAAATTCAGATGCCGTCGGATTAATGTAAACTGCATTATACTATATTTATACTGCATCCCTTCCTCTGTCCCATGTAGCCGTGGCGTACTCCCTCGAGGCCGACGCTGACCACAGGAAGCTCGGTCTTATTCCCAGGGTGACCTTCATCGGAGACCCCACCGCTGAACATAACTATGAATCAAAGGGGACAATAAGCATAGAGGGCCAAGGGAGGCAACAGTGCATCACACGGCAACTTTCTGTACAGGTAGTGAAAACATCTGTGTTCTCCAGTGATCAAAACGCGTTGTGGCACACGAGTAATGTTGTGTGATGCTGTTGCCCCACAGGAAAATATTCGAGACAAGCTACGTGGGATCCCCATCGACGTGTCTGTGGACATACAGGACGCCAGACGTAAACGGAGGCAGCAGGCAGCTCCACTGACTCCTGCCCTGGACGCTAATGAGCCAATGACAACTCGAGCAGAGGTGTGTATGATGATGATCAAAGTGTTAACTTATGATGTGTTGTTCCAGTTTGATATTTAATGTGTGTAAATGTGCTTGTAGGTGAATTTCCTGAAAGAAGGATGCGGAAAAGATAATGTGTGTCAGAGCAACTTGGAGGTGAAATATCGCTACGGTCACAGGTCGACCAATGAAGAAAGGTTCACTCCATTGAAACTGTAAGAACACACACACAGATGCTTGCTTTTGATTTTATCCTTAAGTGTGTTATTTTATTTTGGCTTATTTCTGTGAAAAACTTGCCAGAGCAGGTTACAGCATTGCCTCTCATGTTAACGACACAAGACTTTGCCTGCACACACGCTCATCAGCTTAGAGGCTCATAACTTGTGTCTGTTTGAAGGGAGAATGGTGTGCCGGTGATCTCGCTCAGCGACCAAAAGGACATCGCCTTGGAGGTCAATGTGACCAATAAAAATGGTGACGATGCACACGAAGCTTACGTGACCGTCTCCCTGCCTCGCTCACTGACCTACTCTGCTTACCGCCTCTTAAGTAACGTAAGTGTCTCTTTCTCTGACACTTTCTCTCCTTTGTACACACACACACACACATATATATACCCACCTGTGGTTTTGATTTGAACTTTCTATTGTTTTCAGGAGCGACCGGTAACCTGCATAGCCAATAAAGACGGTTCCAAGGCTGAGTGTGAGCTTGGAAACCCTTTCAAACGTGACTCACATGTAAGAGAAAATCTTCTTTTGGCACCATCTAACTAATTTGCAGAATTGTCACTGTTTATACTTTTGTGAAACTCTGTGACTGTGTGTTTATAGACGACCTTCTACATTATTTTGGGCACAGCTGGCATCTCTTTCAACACTTCAGAACTGGAGATTGATCTTCAGCTAACAACGTAGGTATATTTAAGCTTGTTATCCTGCAGCACAAACTGTGAAATAACATTGATTACAGATAGAAATACAGCAGATACACCCTGAGAACGCAGTGAACTATGTATAATGTATATCAGTTGTCGTTTCTTGGGATTATCTGTTTTGACCTGTGTGTGGACTTTGATCAACAGGACAAGCGACCAGCAGAAACTTGCTCCTGTCAAAGCCAAGGCAAAGGTGGCCATCATGCTGCAGCTGTCTATATCAGGGTAAGAAACACCCACATACATGTGCAGAAAACACACAAGTATGCACCGATTCATGCTGCTAACGGGGTATTTCTGTCTTTCCAGACAAGCCCAGCCATCTCAGGCCTACTTTACAGGAGAGGTCAAAGGTGAGACGGCCATGAAGACTGAAAGCGACATAGGCAGCGCGATCATGCACCAGTTCAGAGTGAGTACAGGGAAGCTACTGGATGAGAAGTGTCTTTGATAGACAAATACATCTATTTAGTTCACTGAATTTAATTCTTTATGCACTGTAGTGTAAATGGGACAATGTTCCTGTTTTTACAGATAGTCAACCTGGGAAAACGCTTGACAGATGTCGGCACTGCATCCCTCGATATTTACTGGCCAAAGGAGACAGAGCAGGGAAAGTGGCTGCTCTACCTGATGAAGATCAGCTCCACAGGAGTGGACCAGATAGAGTGCACTCCTCGAGGGGAGATCAACCCTCTGAACAAGGTCAGTGAAAGCGTCGCATAATGTGTGGTCTAGTTTTTCAGTTGATTTGTCTTTTTTAAATAGAATAGGTATGTAGTAAAAGACAATTTTCCAAAGAAAGGGCAAAGAAAGATGTTGAGATAAATGCAATAGATGAATAAACATTTTCTTTTCTGCTTTAAGGAACCAGTTAACTCCAGGTCGAGAAGAGCAGCAGAAAACACCCAGGGATCCAACAAGGGCACCTTGTCCCGCTTAACTGACAACCACAAATCTCTGGTAATCCCTGTCGACCATCCTATCCTTTTGTCTTTCAGTGTTCTATTTTGTGTACATTTCAATCTTTAAAAGAGGAATCCAGAAGTAACTTTTAGCTCTTTTTGTTCACAGTCCTGTGGTAATGGGGCAAAATGTGTGAGGATAAGGTGCCCCCTGCGGGGCCTGGACAGTAATGCAGTCTTCACTCTGTCCTCTCGCCTCTGGAACAGCACCTTCATAGAGGTAAAGAAGTGTTTTTACATCAGCTGTTATGTAAAGACTCGAGATGGAAAGACACCTGGCTGTAAGAGTTAGCCACTGTCATGAGAGGAAAAAAAGAAATCCACAACTGCTTTCTGACATATTCTATACCTTTTATATAAAGCATCAAAACTAAAATTAGAATGATCAAAATGTGGATCTCATTTTCACATTTTGTTGGTAGTTTCAGTTGAAATGGTAGTTTTGTGTTGATTTGGCGAGAGGCTTTCTCAACACTAAAACCAAGAAAATTTAGCAGCATAAACCTATTAATGTGCTAAAACAATTACATTAAAATGTTCATATGTTCTCTCAGTTCGTAATCCAGCAACATTATTTTATATATTGTAACGTAGGTCATTATTAGAAACACATTTTTTTACAGGATGTTAAGTATTAGAAAAGCTATATGTAGGGTTTATGGAGGACAACAAAAGCTGAACTTGCTTCTAGTTAAATGAAGAATGACTGAATTTTAAATACTTTTATAGCTAGGCCTCCTAATAATAATTTATTTACATTCAAAAACACCATCTCAACCTGATCTGCTCCCTTTGTGCTTAAACAGGATTTTTCCGACTTGCATCATCTGGAGGTGATAGTGAAAGCTGCTCTGCACATTGATAGCACGACAAAGACCACAGTGCTGCAAAATGCAGAGTCGCAGGTAAGTAAACGCAGCAGTGCACAGACTTTATGTGGCGGTGGTGGACTCGAGAAGGTGATTTAGTACAAACGGTTTAAAATGCTGTCGTCACCATACGGCATGAACATGAAAAACCTGAGTGTTTGTATATTATAAATCGAATAAACAGACTTTCAGAAGCTTTTTTGACACTTGATTGTGTTCCCCAGGTGAGGCTGACGGTGTTCCCAGAGAGGCGTGCAGCTCAGTACGGAGGCGTGCCGTGGTGGATCATCGTGTTGTCGATACTGTTCGGGCTGCTCTTGTTGGCCCTGTTGGCTTTCCTTCTTTGGAAGGTAGGACTGAAGGATACAAACCCAGGACACATACTGCTAAAAACATGTACTTCTAAATTTTCAGGATTTTAACTGAAAAAAAAAAAAAGCTTTTAATTTTGAACAGCTAACAGTCAACTCCATTTACAGAACAACAGTAGGTAACAGTGATGACACACTTTCTCTAATAATTTGCCTCTCCTCAGTGTGGACTCTTTGGGAAAAAGAATAAAGACGACCCTTCAGAAAAAGAGAGACTGACATCAAATGCATAAAAAAGAGAGAGAGGGTAAAATTACCCGTTCTGCCCGGCCTGAATGAGTGGAACTTCTTCTCTCGCTCCTTCTTGCTACAGAAACGCTGCTTTTCTGGTATTAGGCAGGCAGTGGGCAATTCTCACACTGTGATATGAATGCTGTTGTAAAAGCTGACCTATTACTTCTGCAACGACCTAATGCCTAAAATATTTTCACACATGATTATGTGTGTATCATTCCAGTTTACCTGCATGGCCAGGGGAGGTGATAAGCAATGACTGTGTTACCTACTGCTCTGAGGAACACCACGGGGGCTGTCCTGCATCTCTTTGATTTCATCTCTTTCTTTATTTCCATTTTTTTGGTTACTATTGCACATGCAGTCACTTGGTGTGGAGGTTTTTTTTTTCTTTTCTACATTTAAAAACAGGGGAACTGGAACACGTTTTCTTTCTGTATAAAGCAGCACAGATGGCTTGTCTACAACTCTCACTGGATTCATTGCATTTTGGCGCCTGCGACAGAGACTGACAAAAATCTGCTTTGCTTTCTCTGAATGTCTTTCAGTAGCCTTTTCTCAAACAAAATATTGAGTTTGCTCTCCCTCTCTTCTCTGCAGTGTGGCTTTTTTAAGCGTGCCAAATATGAAGACAAGGTTCCCAGTTACAATGCAGTCCGAATCAAACGGGAGGAGAGAGCCATCAACCCTGGAAATGGTAACTGGGAAAACGTGGAAAAGAAGCCCTGGATGACAACCTGGCACGACAATGAACACTATTCTTAACAGCCAATGAAATCTGACAATACACTTCACTGTCGCTTACTGATGAACTGCCAGTTTCACTCGTTTTTTGCTGCCCTGCCTTCGGAGGACTGTAAATATCAAAATACAAGGAAAATCATTTGTTTAAAAAAAAAATTGAAACATTTGTAGGACCAAATACTGGATCACACTCTTTACTTCAGGCACCGATCTGATCTTGAACAAAGTCTGTATGAATCACTGGAAGGAGATTTGCAGTGTGGGAGACCGTCCTGCACAACTACTGTCGGAGGTTGCTTTGTACATTCACAGTGTTGACGGTTGGGGGGTATGGAAATGTTACTAGATGTTTTGTACATTTCTTTTTATTGAATGTTTTGCAGAATTGTTTGTATTTATTCTTGCGAGGAGTACTTTCTGTTACGTGCTCTACAGGCCAAAGACTCATGCAATGCATATCATACACAGCAGACTTTTTTTATTTACTAAAACATGTTAATTTCCCCCACTTTATAAGTGCATTTTTTTTATCTGCTGTGCATCTCTTAACAGCTGAAACATTTTCATGCTCAAGGTGGCTCAGAACATACACATACTGTAACTTATCCACAGTTGTCAAGCACTTGGTTTGTAAATATGCCGCCCGACCACTACAGAACCCATCTTTTAATCACCGCAAAACAGGAGGAGCGTGAGAGCCAACAAAGTGTTTCTTGAATAAATTTTTTTAATGTTGTCATATCTATGTGTCCTGTGTGTAATTTTGTTTTATCAAATGATTTCAGTCTAATTTATATTGGAATCCAGGTAATGTTATGGAAACCTGGCATCAAAGGTAAAGACGTTTAATTTAAAAAAACAAAAAAATTACATCCTGAACCCAGAATTCAAGGTGTGACCATCAGGCAGGAGGGCTCATGAAGGTAAATTGTAGAATGAATTATTCACAATTCCTTCATTTCATCGACCATTAAGGTATTAAATAACAAATAGAAGGACTATAAGATCTGAATATATCTTTTTAAAAATGTATTGGCATCATTTTAAAGATTTGCTGGTTTGACTGTAGCTGGTTTTATTACCTGAAACTGTTCTTTCATTACTTTCAGCTTTCAACAAAACCTCCAGTTTAATTGGTATAGTGCCAATTCACGACATAAATCATCTGAAGATACCTCAGATGCACAGCAGATTACAGACAGAAACCCAACAAATCCAAAGATTCCCTTGTAGCAAGCTCTTTGATGAGCGTTAAGCAATGCAAAATCTGTCTTTAAAAACTATTCTCTATCATTTTAGACACTTTTTTGACCTGAGGTTGTTTGTATGATCTAAGTGCTTGCTTCAATGCGCATTATATTGTTACTGCTTTGTGATGCAGTGGCTTCAAGACAAGTTTCCTGATTTATGGGGGCAATTTAAGGCCTTTCTGTCATGGTGGCAGTGGAGAGAGATCAGACATGTGGGGAAAGAGGAACTGAACCAGACCAGCTCTGCATGATATGCCCCCTAATCGCTATTGGACCGCCCTGACAGTGAGTATCTTGTCCTACCTTGAATGATTCGAAGGCAACAGAAAGGAAGTTTAAAATGTTATTTATTTATACATAAAAAAAGCATTTACAGCGAATGCCTGAGTGCTTAAATCAGCACGTTTGTTAAATATTAAAATCATTCTACGGATAATTTATGGTTTAAAAAAAAGCATCACTGTAAGACATTTAAATCTCACACACACTTTTCAACTGAAATACACAAGAGAGATAAAATTGCTGAGTGAACTTTGGTGCTGGAGTCGACCTCTGCTCTGGTGTGAGGATCAATTCATCCCAACCGCAGTTCTGTGCGTTAAATGATATCTACGAAACAACAGAGGATGTGCGCAGTGGATCTAGATGTTTCTATTAGCTCAGTAGAAATAAGGTTCAAGTGTATTTCCGTAATGTGGACTGCAAACACACCCTCATGCTGGTGGTGTATCTCCGACCGCACCTCCGTCCTTTTCCTTTATAAAAGCGACTCAGTTCTTACGGTTTTGCCGCTCTGTCGGGTGTCTTTTGCGGACTTCTCCTCCCTCATCGTCCTCGTCTTCTCTTTGCCTTCCCCCTCCTTGTCTGAAACTGAATTCTCTTTGAGCCTCTTCTCTCCTCTCCTGTGCTCTTTATCCTCTCTCTTTTTCATCTCCTTCAGCTTCTTTTTGAGGACAGACCGGTCACTTTGACTGCACACACCCAGGGCCTGACAACAGAGGAATGTGACCGTAAACAGAAGAGTCGTGGTTTGTGTCCACATGAAGGTTAATGAGCCTCAGACAAAAACAAAATTCCAATGTTTAGCAGTCGTGTAAATTTAAAAAGATGTTAATATCAAACTTGGTAATTACATGGACTGCTATGTGTTGATGAGTTAAAGGAGAAACTGTAAAACCAGTATGAGGAAGAAGATGTTCAGCCCAGTGCTCTGAACAACTAACTGGTTTTGAAATTCTGAATGAATTAGAAAAACAATCCAACATTACAACTGTTAAAACATGCAGATCAGAACATACATTTCCAGTATGGTTAATTAAAGGTGAAACATATCAGTCTGACTTTGGCCACAATATTTCCTGAAAATGTTTCTCATCTGCTCACCTTGAGTTTCTCGCTGTCCATGCTGAGCAGCTGCGTCCCATCCACACCTCTGGCAGCAAACTCTGACGCGTATTGATCCATGTTCATGGCGATTAACCACAGAATCACCTGCTGGTTGTTCCACTCCAAGACGGGCCGACTTTGCCACTGATTGTTGTTGTTGGCGGGAACTGGGTCATCGTCCAAAGTCTTGACAGGACACCAGAGAAAGCACCGAGAGAAGCGACAGAGAGAAATGAGAGGAAGCTGTAACTAAAGAAGAGTACGTTTGGGAAAACTGACTAGACGAGGAGTGCTCCGTGAGGAATGAAAGAAGAAAAAAAAATAAAGGTAAAGAAAAGGAAAGGGCAGGATAGACTCACCTCAGTGGAGGAAAAAGTGAAATTGGGAGAGTGTCCAGAGAGGGAGTGTTCAGAGACATGACCCACCATGCTGGAGCTGTCCACTGGAGAACCAATACTCTGGAACCAACAGAAACAGTCCTGGGCTGCCTTCGTACTTCACATTTGCTGCATGCTTACCCATGCATGAGTGCTTATTTTAAAGGATTTCTATTTGCATGAGATATCTGGATCAGCTAACCTACGTGGTGTCAGATAGAAACACGGTCAGAACTTTCTTACATGATCTCTTCTGCCTGTAGTTGTCAGATACGGTAAACTGCTGCTGGATACGGACCGAAGCCTCTCCCTGCTGATCTCTTCTTCCTTTTCTCTGCCTCGCTCTCCGAACCAGGGGAAGGGCAGGCAAGAAGGCATGGAGGTGACAGAACCTGATGGAGAAACTCCAGTGGGCCCATCCACCAGGTCTCCATATGAACTCCTGTTAAAAGAAAGTAAATTATTAACATTAAAAGGTCCAATATGGTGACATTTTTTGTGTCTTTTGTGATTGGTAGAAACTTGGAGGTGGAAAATAAAAGCTGTTAGTCTGACCACTTCTCAAGCCCATCCCACAACTATATAGAGTCTCAACTTTGACGGCCAATCACGCTTAGTGAGCTGTAACATTCCAACTGAAGAACAAACAGACGTCGAGCTCACATTTTGTATATTTCCTCACTGCTGAGCTGCCTCTCAGGCCACCAGATTTATTTGCCCTCCAGAGCTGCTTCTGTTAACTCTAAAATGTCTCAGCTAGGAACAAAGCTCACCAAATGTGTTACTGTTGGCTGCAAGAGTGAACACAAGAGTCCTCGTGCACCGCATCTGAGGAGCTGAAAATCCAGTGGATTGCTTTTGTTTTTAATGACAAGGTCAACACCACAATGGGAAAATCCTTAGTGTTAGCATGATGTGTGACTAATGTAAGCTTTGATTGTATACCTGCATGTCAGAGCTCTGTGGAAGTTACTGAGTGACTGGATTCAGAATGGAAAAGCTGCAGCTCCATGAAGTCAGTGACCACCTGTAAGTCCCTTTTCTAATTTTACATGAGTTTTAGTTTCCTCTTCTTTTGACCTTTTCCTGCAATGTTTTTTTTTCTTTTTTGCACGCACTTGTTTTTTGTCTGACTCTTTTTAAAACCTGATTTTAAGATTCGTCTTTCACTGTGCTTGCCGTGTGAAGCACTTTCCAACGTGGATTTTGTGCTATGAATAAAAGTTTATTCTATTATTGTTCCAGCTCTCCTCCTCTTTTTATTTCATTCTTTTCACTGAGGTGGAAAGAGCAGCAGCATGATAATTGTTTTCTCTAAATAAACTAACCTCTGTATAATACTTTTCTTTTTTTTTATGTGCATAAATTACAATTGCACATAAAATGCAGGTAAATAGAAAAAAAGCACCGATTGAGCTACACGGCAGTTCGGATCACACTTTTGAGTGGCTTTAATGTTTAGCCTGAATAAATGACAACTCAATTTTAACACTTACTTTTGTATCACATAGTAACCGATTTACTCAGTTTTTGCTTTTGTGGATGAGTAACATTATCACACCTGTTGTTCACAGATCTTCTGCTGCGTTTTTCGCTTCTCCTTTTGTTGAGAGACTTGCGAAGGCCACTAAAATGAAACACACAGCAGTCATCAAAAGTATCAGGACAAAGCATATCACCAACAAAATGCTCACTCAATCCCTCCATTACACCAGCCACTGTGGCAAATATCCAGAAATCTGCTGTGGCTAAAAGGAGAATCCATACACTCTCATGGCTGTTTCAACATTTTACATTATTACAACTCAAAATATAAGTCAAGGAAAGAGGCAGAGCTCCTGTACCTGAAGTCAGGAAATTTTCTTTTGGATTTTCTGGATGCTGAGGATTTGCACGGCGAGGGAGTGACGGTGTCATTGATGTAGATGGGAGGGGTGAAGACGGAGCTGGTGGGAGGCTGCGGGCTGAAGGCTGAGAAAGAGGACGTACTGGACAGGTCACTTCTGCTGCCTTGCACCGCCGTGGGAGCAGACAGCGACAGGCTCTCCTGTGGTTTCTGGACTAGTTCATCCTGCAGCAAAAACAGAGGACATTTGTGTCAGCTGGAAACTGTAAATTCACTATCAGTGCTGCCACATTTGTCACCTCTGCGTCTTACCTGTTTTCTGAAGCTCTCTCGGAGTTTGTCGCGCGAAGGAGGGTGGCGCTTGGATTTCTGGGCGAGCTGGGCTCTGGCTATGTGAGCGCTGGAGTCCAGGCGTCCTGTATCGGGGACTGGAATATACCAGTCTGAGCATGAGACACAAACACATTTACTTCGCCTCGGTCAAAAAGCACATTTTTATTCAAAGGGTTACACAAATCATATGTTTTTTTTTCTAACTGTGACTGCTTTATCTGAACCACACAGAAAGCTTTGAAATCCTTTGACATCAGAAATATTTATAGCCAGCAGCAGCAGCAACAAAGCCAAAGAAAAAACAGTCACATAAGCGGTACACTCGACTGTTACATGAATACAGATGCTTACCTGTGACTGAAGAGTCTACAGAGTGATTCTTTCTCTCGGTTACAGCCTCTTTTCCCTCTTGCTGCGCCATCTGTCATAAACAGTGTGAAACAATGACTACAGAGAAATGGCAGGTTCGGTGGCAGTGAAGTAAATCCATGCAGGATTGAGAAGTCTCCTCTCACCTGGATTTGCAGCCTTTCAACAGTGTCTCTGTGCTGCTTATCTCGCTCCTCTAGTTCTCTCCTTAAATCCGCTTCTCTTTTCTCCCCCTCTTCCTCTCTGAAAACCAGTATTTGAAAATGTTAATTCCAAATGTATATGGGGGGAAAAAGACTCTTGTGTAACTTTGCTAGATAACAAAATACACTCCCAGTAAATTTTTCGAATCATATGCCACGCTGTCGGAGAGTTGGCTGGATTCCATAAATACCTGCTCTGGTATTCTCTGACCAGTCTCTTGGCCTTGCTGTATTTGATCTCCAGGCATTCTGACTGGCTCTGGGCATCGGCCAGTCGCTGGCTCACAACTCTGCACAGTGTCTGGGCCTCTTGCCAATACCTGATTAATAGAGCAAGTGTCATTGTCACCTTCTCAACCAACATTATCATGTTCTGTATATTTATTAACAGGATTATAATTTGCAGCCTTTAGGCATCTAAACTCTTCTAGTAAATGATTATATTTATGTTTTCATGGATGGATTGTATCTGCCTCTTTGCTTTTAATGTAATTTATTAATCATTGGGTTTATGTTTTTTGGATTGATTTTATCCGTCTTCTTATAGTTTTGTGTGAAGCACTTTGAATTACCTCGGGGTATGAATTGTGCTATACAAATAAACCTGCCTTGCCTTGCCTAAATCCCAAAACCTGCTGGCAAACTGATGGTATTTCTGAAAAAAAAAAAAGCCCAAAATCACACCATTTATTTGAGTCAGAACTTTAAAAATCATTAGATTTTTAATTTTCTGATGGTCTTTAATATAATCATGAGTGACATACATTTTGTTGGAAATATTAAGTCAATAAAATCATCAAATAAATCATGATATTTCATCAAAAATTACTTTATTCTACATGTCTTATTTGAAAAAAATCACCAAAATAAACTGCCTGTGTCAACCAAATTCTGCAAAAAATAAAATAAAATTCTGTTAGTTACCACTAAAGTCACATAAAAAAAAAAATCTGGGACTTTTTGGCTAAACTGCAGGCTGCTTGTACACAGAGCAAATATGAGACAAATATGGAAACAAATTAAAAATGCTAGTTGTAAACTATCTAAAGTATGTTTTCATTGTTTTCCATTATTGGTAACACCTGAGAGTACTTGGAAAAATGTTGGAACTGTTGAGTCCAGGTTACCTTTTTCTTGTTTTATGATTTGTGGCAGTACAACTGTGACATTTTTTAGTTCTCTCTGCTTCTAGCCATGATTGTGCCGTTTCCATTAAGGTGCAGGCCTTCAGATTATGATGACAAATGAGCCCAGAGTGAGTAAAAATGTGACAGGAGCCAAAAACACCTCGGGGTCCAGAGGGTTTAGCCTCATGTCTACCTTGGCAAAAACATTTAGTAAATACCAACATACTTCTCCAGTTTGTCAGCCTTCTCCTCTTCATCCTCCGCTCTCTGCTCCAATTCAGCCCTCTGGCTCTCCCAGTGGGCCCGCTGCTCCTCCCATGCCTTTAACTGGGAGACACACAGCGAAAGATTATTTCTTTATATCTGCGATGAATGTCATATGCACAGGAGGAGAGAAAGACTTTGCTAGAAAAAGGCCTTCATGTTTTATGTCAGAAACTGTTCTTTAGATCTGGAGGAACTGTATCCTTCTAACATTTTTTGACTTCAAGAGTTTTCTAACAACAAATGAAGTATTCACAGATTTAACACAGTCGGATAGAAGAAAAGCCAGATTTTCTTGTGAAAGGCTTTCGCCAACCCAGTTATGTCACAGCGGTGATTACTTCAAGGCAAAGGCAGAAAAGCAGGGCTGACACAGAGAAGTGTTGGAACACGGCCCGTGTCCTAATAACTCCACACCGAGCCATCTCATACACAGTTAAATGGGTCAGACTGTTCCAAATTTGGATACAAAGGTAGCGTATTAAAGTGAGTACAGTTATTGGTTTGTGCGTGTGAGCGATGTCTCTGTTTAAACTTGAATGACCAACCTTTTCTCTGGCGTGCTGAAGCTGGGTTGTTCGGCTTCGTAGTTTTGACTGAAGCTGTTAAGAGTAGAAACAAGAATGAATGAATGGGTACATTACAATCAGTAAGAAAAGACACACACTTGAATGCTTTGTCTTCAAAAACTGCTGTTAATGTCACTGATCATGTTTTGATGCAGTGTTTTGTTCAATAATAATGAATGAATTCAGGTAACGTACCTGCTGGTATTTGAGGCAGAGCTGGTAGTTGTCCAGGCTGGAGAGAACAGACACATCCTCCTCTTCATCCGCCTCCTCCTCTTCTTCTTCCTCCTCTTCTTCCTCAACCACTGAGCACTTTTCTGACATGCTATCATGACTATCATTGTCCTCTTCTCTGCTGCCTCCTCTTTGCTTCTTCACATATAAACATACATAGAAGACAACAGAATCGTGAGTAATCGTTACAACGATTCAACCTCCCCTGTTCTTTTAGGAAAACTCACCTTTTTGGTTTTTGTTTTATCCATTTCCAGGCTTTCATTGATGAGTCTAGCCACCTCGCTTTCCACTCCCTCCTTCTCTCGGCCAATCAAAAACCTGCGACACAACACAGACATCCATTAATCCGTCTCATAACACACATAGTTCTGCAGATCACGCTGTGGTACAACCTTTGTCACAGCAGATATTTTGACTTGTCAAAATAGTGAAGTGAAGTACAGGTGCTACAAAGAACATTAACAATGGTACGGTAAGTCATGGCAATTTCTGAGCATCCATCCATCATCTATACACCGCTTAATCCTCACTAGGGTCACAGGGGGGCTGGAGCCTATCCCAGCTGACTCAGGGTGAAGGCAGGAGGTCTATCACAGGGCTACACTTAGAGACAGACAACCAAGCACACTCACATTCACACCTACGGACAATTTAGAATCACCAATCAACCTCAACATGTTTATGGACTGTCCTTTTTGGGTGTCCTCACCGGGACGTGAACCGGTAACCTTCTTGCTAACGACTGAGCATGCATAATTAATAAATAAATAATTCAAGAATATTCATGCCTGTGTTTCTACCTCCTGTGACCTGTCGAGTCCTCTGTTCAAACCATGCTTCTGCGGTATGCTGTCATTGCACACGTACACAGTTGCAAGCACAGACTGGTTTTAATGCTCTCTAAATGTTGGGCCTTTTACAGACACTGTGGTATGTTGTGGGAAAGTGCTGTCAAAAATGGTGTTGTTGGACAGTTTATGTCAGAAAATGTATTATAAAGGACAAAGACCATATGGGGAAAAAGTTGGTGTTAATGTGCTAATGTAGTCATTGGTTTGCCTAAACGCGTCCAAAACGTACAACCTGAGGTGTTGAAGCAATCTTAAAAAGGAAAGTGGTAGGAAGTAAATAACCTCAAGCACTTTACTTAAGTAGGATTTTAGGTAGTATTTCTACTCCTTTCTACATTTCAGAAGGAAATATTGTACTTTCTACTTCAGTATTTTGGTCTGACAACTTTATTTGCTTTCAAGATGAAGATTTTACACAACTGATGATGTAACACATCAACAACATTTAAAAATACTCTTTACAGGTTAAACCAGTCATTTCCAGATGTTTGGCTTCTGATGTCTTAAAAAAAAAAAACAAAACAGTGTGTAGTCAGTGCTACATTTCAAATATCTGTTCACTGTTAAAATCGCTCCCAAATAGTGATTTTCCCACTACATTTTTTTTTAATGGTTTCATGTCACGAAATATTCAAATGATTCAACGCCTCACAAAAATCAAAGTTAAGAGAAAAAGTCCCAAAAACTGAAAACACATTTTTGTATCATAACATTGTTTTTTCTTTTTTACCATTAATCACTTGAGCCCTCATTTTCTCTTTGTGTATAAAACAGCACAGAACTAGCTCCACCTGAAGCAGCAACAACAGTTATGTGCTGCTGATATACTCACACTTGACTATTAATAATCTAATAGTGTCATATATAATAACATCTCAGTCAGATGGACCAAACCAGTACTTTCATTTTAATAATTTAACTATATTTTGCTGCTAATACTTACATACTTTTACTCAAGTATGATTGCACAGGCTCCTTTTTCTTGTAATGGAATATTTTTTCACATTTTTCTTTTGCACTTTTACCTAAACAAAGGATCTGAACACATCGTCCTCCACTGCTTTAAAGTGTCACAATCTTAAGTACTGATCAGTTAAAATATGCAAATTTACTTATATGGTCCTGGGAAGAAAAATTATATTTACCACACTGTGACTGTTTCATCTTTAAATAACTTCAGTTCTGTAAGAAAGAACACTTTCAGAAGTCTTAGAAAGGCTCTGCCATTAATCACCTGCACTCTTTTTTAAAGTGTCACATCAAATACCAAAAATGCACTTTGAAGCCCAGTTTCCAAATAAAACGATGAAGACTATATGCTTCGCTGTTTGTCCAAACTAGCAGCAGTTCACTAGATATAAGCAGTGGGAGGAGAAGAAAGAAACTGCTTAATATTACTAGATTCAGTATCTGTCAGAGACTAAGCAAATGTTGCACTGTCAAAAAACAAACAACTAAATCTAGTCTCTTACTTGACGAGGCCTGATGTGTTCTTGAGGACTGTGGCAGCAAACAGCTGGGACACTCCAACCAAGCTCACTCCATCCACCTCCACAATCTGGTCATTCACCTGAATCCTAACACACAGAAACATACACAGATAAACAAAAATAGTGTGTCTCTGTCATTTCCAACCGACAAGAGACTGACGTGGAGGCCTACCTTCCATCTTTCTGTGTTGCTCCTCCTTCAGTGATTGTCTTGACAAAGATTCCCAGTTTTTCCAGTCCCTGGTCAGCCCCGACACCCATTCCTATGATACTTATGCCCAGTCCATCGTCTCCTAGAGGAAGTGGGAAAAGGAGTAGGTAGTCAAGACATTAGGAATTTATTCTCATATTAGCAATGTTTGTTGTTAATGCCACTCGATATAACCAGTTTTGGGCGTAATGCATTACTGTAATCAGATTACATTTGTCCTTAAACCATATACAGTGATTAATAAATTTATTAGACCACCCGTCTAATTTGTTAAGCACTATATATATCATCCAGCATGATGAAGTGCTTTAATGCGCACTCAGCTCTCAATGTTTTACCATTTTGAACAGGAATGAGGAATTTCAAACTGAATTCACCTTTTTGTACCCAAATTTGAGCCACTGGGCTCCTCTGAGAAGTCAGAAATTAATCAAGCATCACACTCAACCACTAAAACTTTTTTTTTTCTGCTCAGGAATGCAAGTAAATAACTACAATTTGACATCTTAACCAAGAAATAAAAATATGCTTTACTAATATGCTGTGTTTTTTTGTAAAACAATACATTTAAAGAATTATGGATAACAATAATAAATATATTTTAAGCATTAAAAGTATTATTTTGGTTGAAGAGCTTCTACATACTGGTGTATTAACCATTACAGAAACATAAAAAGTTATTTTGGTAATTACCAATGCTGTTGATTTAGGGCAGCTGTGGCATAAACCTTACATTGGGCAGTGGTTGAATACATTTTTTAAGCACTGTACATAACATATTCCTGCTAAAATCAGTAATCACATTGCGGCTGCTAATCAGTTACAGTGACTACTTATATTTTGAGGCAGTTTGAGCTTAATGCCCGTTCCACATTAATTCCCTTAGACACGCAATTGAGCCTTGTTTTCATCGCAACATCCATTGGAGCAGTTTTTTCCAACTTTGCTGCTGTGGCAATGTTCTTTGACAGCCTAAAAAAAAAATCTTGTGCCTATTCTCCTTATGAATATTTGGATTTGTACTGGTTTGTGTGCATTTTTAAGGTTTAAAGTTGTGGATTTGTGTGAATGTAATGTTAGTAGTGTAACAAATGACTTTCTACAGGGAGAAAATTAGTGAAGTTATGCATTATTTTAAAAATGCAAGGTGAAATGCTTTTTTTTTTTTTTTTTTAAGTCATGACCCCAACATTGGATTCGACCAGCTGGCTTTGGAAATTAGAGCCTGACATACAGACACGAAACAGACATAATCAAATCAGAAGCAACGAGAGGCAAAACAGACACAAACCCTTTTCTATCTCCACTGGAATAACGTCCATCCTGTCCACTCTCTTCTCCAGCTCAAACTCAGCCGAGGCCGACACCGGGTCAATGTCCTCATTGTGCCTGTCGTAGTCGGCGTTAGAATATGTGCTGTACACCTGAAAGACACCGGTCAATATGCAGCTTAAACCTGTGATGGCCTCAACTTAGATCAACACTGATGTCAAAAAAATGTTTTATGCATTCACGTCTAGTACGTTTGCTCATCATGAACAGGCTCTAAAAAGAACCATCTGCAGTTATTGACACAACAAGTCACTGTTTATGTAGACCAATCTGTCGATGAGAGTCAGAGCGAAACAATCAGGAAGTGCAAAAGGCTTGAGCAAACCAGAGAAGCACAATTATGAGATTGCTAAAAAATCTCAAAGTACACACACAGCTTCCATGTGGCAGTTCAGGATAATACACTGACTTCTACTGAAACAGTTTGTTATGAATTGATCCAGATTAATACTAAACACATCCACAGGACTTTTTTTTTTACTGCATTTATATAAAGGCAGCTCTGAGCCGGGTGATGACAGAGTAAGGCATGTGGGATCTTGCCTCTCTCCTCCTCCCCTAATGGATTAGAAACATGGCTTTGGGCTAACACTTCTCTTACATGGATTCAAACAGCAGCTGGAACTGACAGTCACACAAATCTACAATAAAGAGGTTTAGCAAATGCATGACTTCATAGACACGCAGCCCCGGAGCTGTCAATAAAACGAACAGCTGAAAAGCCCACGACTTCACAACTTTTTTACAAAGAACAGCCTACCTTGATCGGTGCAGAGGAGAACCTGACCTTCCTCTTTGCAGCTTGTGACGCATCCTCCTTCTCCTGGTCGGTCAGTTCAGGCACACCAGGAATTTCCTCGTATTCCAATAGGGGTTCATTTTGTGCACGCGGAGGGTCTTCCAAGTCGGGTCTTGGTGATGCTGAAAGCTCAGGATGAGACTGGGATTCCTGATCATACACAAAAGCCTCGTTCTCAATCCCACAGGATACCCCTGTTTGGTCCTCTTTGCCTCCATCTACACCAACTTTTCCATCACTATCTCCACTGCTCACCACACGCTTGACCTCCTCAACAACCAGCTCAGGTGTTGAACCTCCTTCTGACCCACTTTTCTCTTCACTTCTTCCCTTCTCTGTGCATTCCTCCTCGCCACCTTCACCTCTCCTCTTCCCGTCACCTTCTTTGTCCTCCTCTTGCATTGTGAGCCTCTCTTTCCCTGCAGCACTTTCATCCACTTGGGACTTTGCCTTTTTCTCCCTGTTTTCTCTTTGCTCTGTTGACTTCTTCTCAGCCCGTGCAGTGAACTCTGTGTTCTGCTCCTCCCTTTCACCCTCCCATTGTTCATTCACCTGCCGATACTTGTCTCTTCTGCCTTCTTCGCCATCCTCAGCGACTCTTCCCCACTGCGCCGACAACTCCTTCTGTTGTTCCTCTGAGGAAACGACCGGCCTCTCCTCTCCGTTTTCCATGCTGGGCTCCTCAAAAACATCATCCACTAAGGCCTCCACGCCTTCTCCTGCAGCTTTGTTTGTTTCAATCTCACCCTCAAGCCAGTTTTTGCTGTATTTCCACTGTTTCTCTTCTTCACTCTCGTCGCTTTCTGACGACTCATTCTTTATGTCCACCAGTTCTGCCCTCAGTGTCTCCTCGGGGGTCAAGCAGGGGTCAAGTGCAACGCTTTCTGCCCTTGCTTCCTCCATTTGTGACACTGTGGTTTGATCATGTTTGCCAAGATAGGCGGGAGATTTGTTGGATGCTTCACCGGGGCCATCCGATACAGGAGATTTAAGGTGCCTTGTCAGTGACACCGGCGCAGGAGGCTTCAGCGATGAAATATTTATGATGTGGTTTATGGATTTGTCTTTATCCAAGCCGTCCTCCTCCGTGTGCTTCCTTGTCCTACTTGCCGCCTCCTCCTCCTCATTTTCCACCTGGTTGACGTCTCCTTTCTCATCTATCCCCTTGCTTTCCCTGCCAGTCACAGGTTTTGAAATCTGTCCTCCACCACTTCCACCCTCCTTCATCTTGGTCTCAAACAACCTCCTGGCTACAGAGAACTTCTGAGCCAGGGCAGCTCTGTCGATATCTGCTATTTCCTCTCCTCTGGATGGTTTGTCATGCAGAGATGATTCTGGGGTAGATATACTGGTTGCAGTGCTAAAAACGGAGGAGGAACTTAGGACTGAACGTCTGGATCCAGAGAAAGGTGAAGTCTGGAGCTGCAGGCTAGGATTTTGAGGAGAGAAGACAGGTGTGGAGCCAGGGCTCAGCACTGGACCGCCATCTTGTCTCAACTGCTGGCTGTCCATTTGAAGGAAAATGTTATCTCTGATCTTGGTTCCCCTGGTGCCGGGGATCCTACCTCTGCTGGTGGCGGTGTGGGACATTGTGGGATCCGACAGGCTGGGTGGCAGAGTGTCTGAATGTGAAGCGGAGCGTTTGGCGGCAGCAGCAGCAGCTTTGGTCCCTGGTTGTAGGCTGGTCCCAGTGTCAAATGAGCATTTGATCGCATGGAAATCAGTTTTGTAAGTTATCCGGTGAGGGGAGGCACTTCGGCCTTTGCTGTCTGTCCGCATCATCTGGGAATGGAGGTTCTCTGAAGTGAGGAAAAAAAAAAAGACTGTGGTGCAGCTGAGGGAAAAGCTTTTCACAGGCAAGGAAAGCACCTGAGCAGGTAGATAGTGGTGGGAGGGTTTGCTGGTACAGTGGAATTGTTGCAATAAGGCAAGAAATGCTTGATAAAAGAGCTGGTGTGTTGAGAGGTTTACTGCGTTGGCCTGATGACAGCAGCTGGTAGGACTTGGAGTGGGAAGTTCATTGTCATCAGGTGGTGTTCAGATTTAGATTCTTCAAATCACCATCACCACAGCAAAATGTCTCCTAAGAGATTGAGAAAGGGTTGGTACAAAGCAATCATTAAGGTGAACTGGCATGATCTTGCAGGTCAGTGAAATACAAGCCAGTATGCATCCCAATTACACCATCAATTCAGACAGAGAAAACTCCTCAAACTTCGGTCACAACCAAGACAAGCTGTCAATTTCTGACTTGCAGCTAAATGCCAGAATTAAAACCAACAGTTTTTAGGTGTACTCACGCTCAGATGTTTTGTTACACAGCTACCTGCCACAGGTATCCACAATTAAGGTAACAATTCACCAGCAGTCACCTCTTCACAATGGCTATGTGCGCGTTCATGTGCGGTCGGAAAGTGAGAGAGTGGAAACAGTACCGTGGTAAATATGCGATTTTCCCCCGGCTGCTTTAACTTATACTACTTGTAAATTATTAAATCGTTAAATTGACAAACGGTCAGTGTGGACAAGCGTAGTCTGTCCCAAATGTTTTGGGATTGCGTGTCAAATGACCCTGAGCTAGCTTAAACACGCTCTGTTGTTGTTTATGCAAAGAGCTAAGTTAATTAGTTAACGAATCTCAATGCAAAGCTTCCCCGTGACAGCTTCTCATAGCGTTAGCCACGACCCTCTGACATAGCATTGCAACTGCACTTGTTTTTGTGATTTACAATTGACTACTTGCCACTTAAACTGGAGAACAAAACTACTGCTGCTCGTCAGTGGTGGAGTTTACGGCAGCACTTGAAGGCAGCAAAAATATCCATCCTGGCCCGAGTGCGCGCGCAGTTTAAAGGTCGCTGACTTGATGGTCAGTTTACCGGAATATTTACCGAACACCGGTAGCTGTCTGCCTCACATTGTCAGTTCTTTTCTCTTACCGTACAAGTGTTGTCGGTCTTGCAGCCGGTCGGTACCGGCGGCTCCCTCGCTGAGATAAATACAGACAGATGGCGACTCATGTCTCTAAATACTGTAACTGGATTATCCCCCAGTAATCCTGTGTAAACTACTCCAGTAACCGTGAAGCACCGCCGGTAAGTGGGTCCCAGCACCGGGGCAAGTCAGCCTACATTTAAGGATCCAGTAGTAACATGTGTGACCTGTAATGTGTTTACGTTCAGTCGGAAGCTTTACCCTTTTGCTCACTTGAGCCTGTCACTGTTGTGTTAAATGACCACTGAGAGCCTGTAATGCTAATGGTGCCATCTCCAATAACACACACTGCTTTTGTTGCTTTGTCTCTCTCCAAAGTGGCTAATCATTTAACATACTGGCTTCATACACTGAACATAAAACCCGGTTAACTTCTACCAAGCATGCAGGTGACTGGTGCATCCACTTACCTTTACCTGTTTCCCAGCATCACTGCCAGTCTTGCTGTCTGCTGTTAAAAGCCAGTACCACTCTTAGCAGAGCCTCTCCTGGGCTCAGAGGAAAGCATTCAGGGAATATTCACCTGTGTGCATGATGCAGGTTAGTGCAGTCAGCCAGATCTCCCACTCCCTACCTGTGTGTGTGTCTCTGTGTGTGTGTGAGGCAAATGATAGCAGTGATGCAGCACCTGCTGATGTGTGTGTGTGTGTGTCTGCCTACCTGTGTGCGTGATGCCTGTTGGTGAGCCGGTGCAGTACCTATGTCTGTCTGTGAGGCTGCCTTGTGTGGCAGGTGGACCGGACCGGACTGGACTCTGCTGGACTGGAGTGATCTGCACAGAGCTGTGGAATGGTTCTGCTCACTGTGACCTGGATCTGACTGGAGACCATTGTCCCAGGTGGCACTGGGACCTAGTTGATATAAATACTAGCCAATCACAAAAGCCTTCTTCTGAATGAGGCTAACCAAGAGAGGGAGGGGAGGGAAGGAAAGTGAATTCAAGTAGAGATGGAAATTGAGGGAGTGATGTCGGGGTGGGTGGCAAAGTAAATTTAGAGAAGGAGAAGCTGCAAGAAAGTGAGCGAGGCGGGGCAGATGGAGGCAAAGAATAAAGGGAAGGAGTTTAACCTGGAATGTGAGAAGCAGTAGAAACAGGAATCACTCAGGGAGTGAATGGAGCTGTACAGGTAGGGAAAACAGTAAATCACAGGTATAAGTGCTGTGGAATAACAGCAAGTCCTTTCTTTTTAACTCAGCAGTATTTATGATTGATGGCAGGTAAGATGAGAAATACAGGGATCTATGTGTGCTGACATAACCCTCAACTCGCATTTCTCTCACCAGCAGCGGGTCACCTTGACTGAAGTTTCTGCTCTGCCCTCCTCAGTATCACACGCTTTACAGTTTAGGCATAGATCGTTATATCTACACACACATGCACACTTTGTATTTTGTGCAACTTTACACTTCTGCTCCACTACATCTCAGAGATAAAGATGGTACTTTTTACTCCACTGTTCCTTTGTTCATTAGTGAAAACCTTGTATTTTCAAGTGGGGTGATTTTGAAGTTGAATTTTGCAGATAAACTGAAAGATTTTCTTTGTAGAGAAATGCACGTCTCACAGGGCGACAATGCTACAAAGATATGATGATCTTTTAGAATAGGATGTATTGCTGTCGATTCAACTACCCAGCAGTATCTTAAATTAGCTTGGCCATCAGCATCTTCAGAAACAAAATGAAGTATTTGCAGCAGTAATGATAATCCAAAAGCACAACACATAAGAGCGACATTTTACTGCAGAATAAATGCTGTCACTTGTAATACTTTGAGCAATTTTTTCAGATAATTCTTTTACATGTACGTTCACAGCATTGTATTGCTACTTTTAAGTAAGTAAAAGATCTAAATACATCTTCCACTGTTGTTGTGGGCAGTCATAGTATTGAGCTGGTGGGATGCAGGTGGAGTGATGGTGGAGCTGCAGGCGTGAAACTGTTCCCTTTTTGCTGAACCACGCCTTCTAATGAGAACTAATAGATTGGTGTCAGTGCCTCTCTCCTGAGTTAGAATTTGCCACATATCAGTCCTTTTTCCTTGCTGTCTCTTTTGATTCTATTAGAATCTGACACACATATAAGCTGATACTCTTTTGCTTGTCACAGATGCTGTGTATACCAGTTTGTGTCAGCTGATAAGCAACAAGAAACCACCCATTATCTATACACCGCTTAATCCTCACTAGGGTCACGGGGGGGGGGCTGGAGTCTATCCCAGCCGACTTAGGGTGAAGGCAGGAGACATCCTGGACAGATCACCAGTCTTTCACAGGGCCACACTTAGAGACAGACTCTCACATTCACACCTTTGGACAATTTAGAATCACCAATTAACCTCAACATGTTTTTGGACTGTGTGGGAGGAAGCCGGAGAACCCGGAGAGAACCCATGCTGCACGAGGAGAACATGCAAACTCCACGCAGGTGTCCTCACCGGGACGCGAACCGGCGACCTTCTTGCTGTGAAACAACGATGCTACCACGTGCGCCGCAACAAGAAACCACAACACTGAATTGCCACACATACAGTACTATTCTAATCCACCAGAGAGCACTGACAACTTTATTTTCCCCTCATTACATATCTTGATCACTGTTTTAAACTGTTAGGGATCCTTATAAATATGTTTTCTATATTTTCATGTTAACAGTACATGTTACATGGCATATTACGCATGCGTTCAAAATATAATTTAACTTACTATTGAGAGTGATATTGCTCAAACATCCAGCATCTGCGTGGCTCTAGTGATTATACCTTTAAATCCTGCTTTAATGAAGTGCTACTACACCGACACTGTCAAATTACAAAAAGGACAGATGCCGTCTGAGAGTTGATTTCAGCTGTGTGTGAGTGTTCTGAGTTTGTTGTCATGTAGACTGCATTTGGCAGACGGTCATGCCCCATATGGTTATCTGTTCAGTCAGCCATATTTAGAGTTCCCCCAGTTTCACAAGGGAATTGCATTAAATCCTCTGAACATTTAAATGCAGACACGCACACGCACGCTCCCTCGACTTGGCTCGTGGCTGGGATGAACGCACAAGTCTGCAGTTTAATGAGCAAAGAGGGATGTAGCGCTGCTGCAGCTCTGCAAAGTTAGTTTATAGGAGTACAGTGAGTTCGTGTAACGTGCCCCTTTATGGCAGTTTTTATAGCTCAAGTGAGTGTGTATCTATAAATCTGTAAACAATGATGCTGCCACTGTGTGCCTAGATGTGTGTACTGCACATCTATCATTTTAACAACATTAGTAATAATGTTATAATCCTGTATGGAGATCCTCTCATCCTGTTGTAGATGACTTTGTAGAGCTCAACTGACAGAATTGTAGATTCAGTTTTTATCATTGCCAAGCCTGATAATAACTGATTTTTTTTTTATCATGCCATGATGTGAGAGTAGATATTTTTATCTTTCAGGAGCCTCGAAAATTCATAGATATTTATTTTCACATTTTGCATATGTTTGACGCAGTCAAAACTTTTCAGGGCAAAACTTTTTCCTTATCAACTCTCTGGATCCCAAGTACTTTCTGGGCCTTTTTTTTTTTTTTCTCTTGTCACATTTTTACTTACTGTGAGCTGTGACTTGTTATTGCAGTATTAAGTGCTTCAGCTCTGTGGAAAGAGCACAACCCATATTGGATTTTCTTTTTCATTACTTTTTTGCAGTACGACATGTTCTAATTTCACAGATCATTAAAAGAAAAACAGGCGGCACGGTGGAGCAGTGGTTAGTGCTGTCAGCTCACAGCTCGAAGGTCTCAGGTTTGAATTGTGATAATCTTTTTTATTTTTTTGCACTAATTGAAAAAAATCTGGAACACATCCTGCCGTTCAACCCAGTTTAGACAAAAAGTCCCAGAATTTTTCTAACATGATTGTTTGTCACAGCTGGGACGCTAATGACTTCCAGCTTGTGACGAGCTATGCAGAATTTTTTGGTTTATTTGCAGAATTTGTTTGGTGTGAACACTTTCGTTAGAGCTAATTTCTAAGTGATGCAGAATAAATTTAGAATAAACTGATTTTGATGTAATATCACAATTTACAGTTAGATCTAGTTGCACGTCACATATGATTAGTCCAAGGATAGTGGGAAAGTTAATAAATCCATCAAGTGTTTCTGTGTTCACAGTTTCAGCTCTGATAAATTGTGTCATTTTAGATTTTTAACATGCTTTTCAAACATATCAGCAAGCTTTGAAGTTAAAGGAATAAACTGGTTTTGTGGTGCTATCTGTATACTGCCTTTTATATTATTTTAGACTTTTTAAATTGTGTATGAAGTTGAAACAATTTTATTGTCCAGTCTGTAATTTAACTTTTGCTTCGAATATTTCCCCCCCCCAAAAAAACATCTTAAAAATAGAACATGTAGTCTTTGTGAGACAGCTGGCACTGACACACGCACTTAATTTTAACAGTCTGGTAAAAACTTGCTCAATCACCCTCTAGCATTACAGTCATGCGTGTTGAAGTGCCATTTCAAACAGATGCAGCAGGGCGAGCGTAAACACACAGACGCACACAGACGCACACACAAACACACAACAGGTGCACACATTCTCACACTGTCTTTCACCTGATGCAGTAGAACTAATAACTTTAACGTCGTCAGTGCTGCAGGATGCAGGGAGGGAAAGAGGAGCTAAGTTGGAGGAGGCTGAGATGCAATAGTGATGCATTCTCCTGCGTCCCTCGTGCCTCATTTATCACGTTCCAAACAATCGTTGCCCTTGTCTCTTTGCTTTGACCTGCCGCGCTTTTACAGTGCCGACAACGAACGGAGTAAATCCCTAAATTTGTCTTGCACCTTCTGTTCTCCCTCCTCCCTGTTATCCTCTCCCTGTTTTCACATATGCATGGGACATATGTTTTTTTCGGCAGAATTGGATGCTCAAAACCTCTCAGCTCCTCTTCATCTACCCTCCCTCTCTTCCTCCCTCTCTTCCTCCCGTCCTTCCTTCCTCTCTTTGCTGCGGCGGCTGCGGTCATAGTGGTGACAGTCTGCATCCCTGCTGCTACTGCCGCCTCTCTCTCATCACTTGGGTTGAAACGAAACAAGTAAAACTAACACTGCTTTGTTGCTGTTTATAAATCATTTCACATGAGGAATCCTTCAAGGCGTCTTGCACGGATCTTTATTTAGGTACATCAAAGCTACCGACTACAGAAACAGTGTTTATATGCAGCTTATTTATGCCATCTTGCCTTATGTGGCCAGCTTAATGCTGAAAATGCTCTGATTTGGCTCTTCGCCTCCTTTTACATCTCAGTGTTTTTCATTATGCTCGTCTGGCCAAGAATGTAAACGCATATTATGACACAGTGCGTGGTCATGTACCGGTATATAAAGGCTGCATATCTGGTGTTATTATTCTAATGTTATATATTTGAAACTAAACAGGCACAGGTTTGGTTTTCAGTGAAGGGGGCAGAAGGATCCAGATATTAAGAGTTGTCAGAACCTTAGCTATTCCATCTAACCATAGCATTTGAGTGTACCAGAATTCCAGGGAAGCTGGGCATATTAGACTGAACTGACCACTTTTGAGCTTGAAATGTAATTTTTATGTTTCTGTACTTAAACCAAGCACCAATACAAATATATCTGCAGTTTGGCAAATATTTATGAATTGCTGCAAAAGATGAGATTGGCATTTAAGTTGTGCTTACAAATTGTCCTTGTCTCCATGTTGATAGTTTACATTCTGATGTAATATTAGTATCCTAGGCAGCAACCCTAAAGAATAAAGTGCTTTATGTACTACTCTTCACCCTAGCCTCCACTTTGTGCCAACTATGGCTTGCATATTTAATTTAAAACTGGTATATGGGTTGATTTTTGCCCTGGGATGACACTTAAAGAGCCCTAGGGTGTGTTACTGCTACAAATCAGCTATTAAACCACTTGTAGTGTCATCCCTTAGTAAAATTCACACTGGTGAAATATTATTCGAAATAGTGTTCTTTATGTAATTTTGTCTTATTAGGCAACCTAAATTTTACTGTGGGTCTGAAATCTACATTGTGCAGAAGATGTTCGTACCCCCTTGTCAAATGTAAACTGATTCAAAACTATATCACAAGTATTTTATCTTATGAACAACAAAAAAACAACTAATTTAGAAAGACTATCATAAAAATAGTGACTCTAAAGTAGAAACTCAGTGCAAGAAAAGTGAATACACATGCGATCACAGACACAAAAGTTAGAGAACCTGTGATCACCATAACAAAGATCAGGACAGCAGTGATTTCCAATTAGCCTAATGGCATGAACGTGCTTATAAAACTACATGTGACTGTCTGTGCCTGTCTGCATGTCTGCATCATGGCTCTACATGGGACAGAATTACCAGAGGATTTAAAATATCGGATTGTGTCTCCTCCAAAATGGAAAAGGATACAGGAAGATTAGTGGCCAACTAGAACTCCCTGTCAACGCAGTTGCAGCACTAATCAGGACGTGTAGAACAAGTTATCAGACCGCTAATCAGAACCACAGCAGTTGTCCTCCAGTGTGCTATTTGCACAATCTAGCTTTGAAAAACAGATGGGTGAGTGCTTCAGACTTGGCACAAGGGTCATCAGGGGAAATCAGAGATTCTGTTACGACTTAAGTGTGTGTAAAGCACACTGCATAACATGAACCCCTATGGAAAAACTAAATCTGGCTTTCTGTTTGGTGCAAAAAGAAGTCTGATGAGTATTGGGAGCATACTCTTTGGTCAAATAAGAATGAATTAGTTTGGCTCGTGTGGGATTCGGCACGTTTGGCATAAAGCTGGCCAAGATCACCACAGTGAATGCATAGTCCCGACAGTGAGGCGCAGAGGTGCAAAAAATGTTCGAGAGCATACTGCTTATGGATGGCAGCGTGAATGACAGTGGATTTACCAAAATACTGGCTGACAAGATGACTCCCAGTGTCCAGAAGCGTGCCAGTAGAGGAATATTCCAGCATAGCAGTGATCTACAGCACTCTAGCAAAAGCACATAGGAGTTTCTAAAGGAGAAAGAGTGCTCATAGAAGGAAATATTTGAATCTTAGTAATAAAAGATGAGGGGATTTTTGTTGTTCCTATGGTGAGGCCTGCATTTTTACATTTTTAATTTTTTTTTTACATGTTCTGTTTCAATTTAGAAGTAATGCAGTTGTTGAGAGGTGATGCATCTTGGAGTTAATTACCATGTAGGTGTTATTGCACGTGATTTTACTGCACTTTTAATGCATTTTACATCTTAAAAGACCTGGTGACACAGTGACATTCTATACATTACAACCAAAAGTCTAATGTGTGTGTGCTTTTCCCCTGGGAGCTGTCCTGCTGTTGTTTATGACCCTCCAACAGCCCATTAAGGCAAACTGACACCAGTCATCTGCATGGCACGATGAAGGCAGCAGCAGCAGCAGCATCAGCATCAGCAGCAGCCTGTAGTTGTGTGAGGCAGCTCGAAGCAGAGGGGCGGGGAGGGGGCGCAGCCGGAGCTCACATTCATTAACGACCACCGACAACCGGGCAGCCTCCTCCGGTGCCATCGCAGCGACACACAGCCGGGGAAGATGGTCGCGGTGCAGACGTCTCCCAATTCGTCTCCGTCGGCGGAGTGGATCTGCTGTCTGGATAAAAGGTGGGTTTAAAAAATAAAACACACACACACACAACAACCACTAGCACTCCCGATGCACTGCCACGCCGCGCATCCTCACCACGGCAGCGATTGTGTTTTCTCAGCCCCTCTTTTCATTCATCCGCGTCAACGTGATTAATCAGAACCGGCGATCGGTGCGCGTGCAGTGTGTGTGAGTGTGCAATAAATGATGCGATAACCCTCGTTTTATTCTTTTTTGTTAGCACGTTATCACTCTCTGTCAGTTCCAGTGGATGTATAGTTGTTTGTAAAAGCTGCAGTGCATGACAATACACACCCTCCTTCAAAAAAAAAAAATCTCTCCGGTCAAAAAGGCGTTGGTGGCTTCGAGGTTCACTGGGGTGTCTCTGCACTGCATGGGCTGTGATAGATGGCTGAGGAGACGCACATGGTTTATGTCTGCCTGCTTAAATCAAATAGCTGTACATTTTTACTACATCATGCATGTTGGGGATTTAATCAAAATGTAGATTGGAGGCAGGTCAGTGTGTGTGTTTTTTTCCCTCTCTCCTATTTATGCCACAGTGCTGCATGTGAGGCAGTGTTTGTCTGGTCTCACTGAACAGACAAGAATAGCTGAACAGCCAGTTTCTATCAGTATCTATGTCTGACAACTCCAAAAGCTGCAGTGCATTGAAAATCTTTTAATCAGACTGTCCAATTAGCGGCGAAAGGTTCTATAGTGAGCTGCCAGCCTCCTGAGTGGCAGCATCATAGTATCCAAGGGAGAAGACTTAAATAAATAAACAAGATGAAGGGGACCAGTGCATTAATTACTGTGGATGATACACAAGTAGACATGCACCCCACAGCTCACACACCCACACATACTGTACACACCTCTGTGACACGTCTCCACGTTACCATTGGCAACCTGAAGCTACCATCTTGTCGTCTCATCCTCACCTGGAAGAAGACGGGATGCATATCTTAATACAGTGTGCTGTTGGATTTTTCTCATTGTTGGAAGCATTTGAGTTTCTGGCCACAGCTAGCAATTGTTTTGATCGTTATTTAATCTGCTAATTGTCTGTAAAATGTTAGAAATTAGCAAGAGATGCCTCTGTGTTTATTAAAGCCTGAGGTGACAGCTCTTAATTGCTTGTTTTGTTCACTAAACAGTGTAAAATCCAATCATTTGCTGTTACAATAGCTAGAATGCCACCAAATGTTCACACTCAAGAAGCTGGAACTGCTGCATTTAGGATACTTTTGCTTAAAAAAAGAAATTAATAGCTGTTTTTGCAGGAAAAAAAGTATTTCTTTTTACAAATTGTTTAGTTGTCTAATAGGTTCAGTTTTTGTGGGGTGTGAGCCTTGTTATGATCTGGTGATTAGGATTATAGTATCCACTAAACGTTTAAGGCTAAGGTTCTGTATATCGTGAACTGAATGCGGCTAATACGCAGTAGTAGGTGGGTGTCAGCAAGGGCAGGATGGACTGGACAGGATCTTGTTGTAGAGCACTCTGTGCTCTTAAGCTATCCACCTCTTATTCAATCAATATCCAGCAGTGTGTATGTGTGTGTGTGTGTGTTTGTGTGTTTGTGAGCTTTCATCTACTGTAACCGTTGATGTGAGCAAGTGAAGAGTGAGAAGCAGGGAGGGGAGGAAGGTGAAAGAAAGACGGAGGTTAAGATATGACTGTCTCTAATATATCTGTCTGAAGACATTTATTGCCTGTGAGTGTGAAGTATGTGAGATAAGATCTGATGTATTTTGTTCCCTGTTGCCTCAGGCAGGTAATGGACGGTCCAGTCAACACAAACGCAGCACCGGTCCAAGTGCAAGTTTAGGTTGTAATGTGCTTTTACTGCAGGAAAATGTACGAGTGGAGCCCCCGTGGCGGGTTCCACACTTTAGGATGACATGGCAAAATAGTAAGTCTGAGAGAAAAGGAATTTGAAAAAGAGAACTGTTACACCATGTAGGTTCATTTGCAAAAATATCAAAGCTTGATGAGTAATTTCAACATCTTTAATTAGTAATTTAGATGAGTAAATTAAAAACTAAGCAGTGTTTATGCTGATTAATATTCATTCTGTTTAACAGGATCTCACGTTGATAGCAGTGGTGTCGATGGGTGTCAGAAAAGCTTTGTACATACAGTTCAAGAGTCTCTATTACAGTAACGTGTTCATCTGCCGGATGAAAAAATCTGTTTGTTTAGACTGTCTGACATTTTGATTGGCTGCTTCAAATCAACCTATGATTTATTTGTCTGGAAACAGTGATTTTTTTTTTCCAGATGGATGTTTACTCAAACAGTCTGCAGAACCTTCTGGTGTCTCTCGATTTTCTCTTCAGTGTGTCATGCTGGTTGATTTGTAAATCCTCTGTGTGTGTGTGCGCTTTGCCATAATTTGTGGTTGAAAGCTGAGATCTCTGCTGACATGAACAGTGGGGGGGGGAGAAGGCTGAGGAAGGAGAACTCAAGGAAGAGAGAGAGAAGGGAGACGGAGGGTGAGTGATACAAGGTGAACAACTCTCAGGTCACATTCGTCTCATGCTAACGGGGGAGGAAGATTCCTCTGGACAGGCAGAGAGCGAGCAAACACAGCACAGTGGGGGGAAAAAAAGAAAGGGTGAGGATTTAACCAGGGGATTATACCTGACAGATCTTAACAGTTTGACTGCAGACGAACAGGTGAAGGGTGATGCCGGTATTAGCCATTCAACCCTGCAGAGTTAACCTCACTGTCTCTCCTTATTGTAGTGTGTGGGAGGTGCACCTGTCTAAACCATTAACCCAGCCTACACTGGGATATGATGCTCTGTCGGAGCACCGAGGGCCAATACACAGGCAGTAGGTGGATGATGGGAGGATGAGTCAGATAAAAAAAAAAAAAAGGGATAAACAGACAGAGAAATCGCCCAGAGCTCGTGGCAGATGTTGTGAGACTGGAAGATGTGTTGTGTTGTGTGGCCCTGGAGCCATCGTCTGTGTTTATCAGGAAGTATTGTCCCAGGTTCTGAGAACAATCCACTGCTCAGGGACACAAATGTATTGGTGTTTATTACTGTATGTACATGTGCTGCCTTGGAGCATGCAAAGCAGAAATAAAAGGATAATAAAGGGGGCAGTCTGAGTGGTGGGACTTAATGGATGGAAGGAATCTGTGCCAGTAATTGAGAGGAGAAAATGGGTTGCCTAAAGAAGAACAGGGTCATTTTTTTTTTTTCCTGTTTCATCTTGCCTATCATTTTCTGAGACAAACAGGCAAGTCTTAAGAGAGGAGGAGAGAAAAATAGATAGAGATTATAGAAATGTTTAGAGGCAGACAAAGAGGAGAGAGAGCGAGGGAAGAGGAAGGAGCTGAAGGAGGAGAGGGGATAGACAGCCTCTCATCTGTGAAGAAAGGAGCCCACAGTGCATTAGCTATTCTGTATGAATGTGTGCGCACACACACACACACACACGTGCGAGGATGAGTCACTAGCAAAGAGAAGAAATAAATGAATGAACGGCGCTAACTGCAGCGTGTCTTACTCCTGGACGGTTTTTTTTGCTGTGTAGTTTTTCACCGCCACTTTGCAGAACAGAGTGTTTAAGCTCTCGGATCAAACTTCTGTGTGTTCTAGCCTAGATGTCCAACAATGATTTACTGGCGTGCGTGCTCCAATTTAAGCGTATTAGAAATAGCAGCAGTACAAACGAGATCTTACATCAACACCCTGTGGGGGGCCGGAGCCAAGAGAAATAGCGCCTGCAGCTCTGCACTGTTATCGCTAAAACACCAGGCAGAACAATGACGCCAGCGTGCTCACACACACACACACATTAAAACACACACATGCACACACCAATTGCATAGATAACACTGTAACAATGGAGCTGTCTTTTTACTGAAAGCACAATACCCCAGATTTTTTCACATTTTAGTCCTTTCACTGCTAATTGCAGCTATTTAATGTTACCATTCATCAAAGTGCGCTGTAGGTTTTTGATTGATTTCCTACTCTTCAAGCAAATATGGGCTTGTATGAGAAATTTAATCCTTCACAGTGAACAAGTTACATCATGCAGTGAAGCTTTTTGTGCAACATCGTTTAAACATACATCTTTAACACCTGATGCATTGTGTAATGGTGTTTCTCCTCTACACAGGCCCACGGAGCGCTCAGGAGAGGATGTGGACATCATTCTGACCAGACTGAGAGAGGTCAAAGCCTTCCAGAGGTTCCCACCTCCACTTCTACTACAGATCTGTGCCTGTGCCTTCTATGAATGCCTGGAGAAAGGCATCACGTGTATGTACATGTGCACAAACATACAATACTGTCGGATTATAAAATGATGGTTCTTTTCGTGGGATTATATATGAATCAGACACTGCTGGGTTCAGAGTGGCTCTAAGCATAGTAAAAGAAAAAAATCATTATACAATATACCGAGTGCTATTATATGACAGTCGTGCTGCAGAAGATCCCTTAAGACTGTTTGAAGAGTGATGTATTTGAATAAAATATACTATTATTTTCATTTAAGTAGCTCTTCACACACAAATAATGCAAACCTTATTTTTTAGCACATTTGTAGGGTATTGATTTCGAAACATTGGTTCATTTAAAAAAAAAAAAAAACAACTTTGTATGGCTACAACAGCTTATTGCAGTATTGATTATTTTGTCAGTTTGTTTTTTATACTTGTGGAAAAGAATAAAGCAGCAAATCCTAACATTTGAAATATTGTGGCTTGATAGATGACGTTTTTAACAGCTTGGTGAGTGACATCATCCTTCTAACATATACAACATAAAAGCATTACCGACTGAAAACCTCAACAATACTACTACTTTAAGAAGCACTAAACAGAAACAACCATCAAAGTAAAATATGACCTAATTTCTTTGCAAAACTTTTTTAGTTATGTAGTCAGTGGTATATGATGCTTTAAATTAGGACTCATGGCAAACAAGAAATCAGCAAATCGTTCCATTGGGTGCTTTTGATTGGGATCCTCAGCATCTCTTCCCATCCATCCCATCCATTTTAAAAAGCACTGATTAAAACAGAATACCATTATATGAATGTCATTTATTAATGAACAAATATAGAAAATGTAAATGAAATTATAAAGCGCATGTAAGATATGACATCAAAATTGCCTCTTAAAAACCGTTTTACTTAATGTTAAAAGTGGACATTTCTTGTCTTTTCAAAAAAAGAGATGTTTCATTCATAATGATATTTTAAACAACACATCACATCAATACAATATCTCATACAGAATGTTACAAAACTACATAAGAGCATCATTTAAGTCTTGCTTAATAGAGAGAAATGTGATATTTAAGACTTTTTGTTAGATTATTTTCTCCATCTCTGATACTTTGTGCTTAGAAATACAATTAAAACATGGCTCAATACAAAACAACACCAATATTTCCTCGGCTGGACAAATGTCTCTTCTAAACAGCGGTGATTGTGATATATTAGGGGATGACAACTTATATTTTGATGAATGCATCAATCTGTTGTGTGTCCACTGAGTGAAGTGTTATTTTTCCCATCAGCTCTCAGTAACGTTTGATGTATTTTACCGTGTGCAGTGTTTCGACAGGGGGACATAGGCACCAGTTGGTATGCTGTCCTGTCTGGCTCCCTTGATGTCAAAGTGTCAGAAACCGCCAATCACCAGGTAAGATTCATGTCATCAAGTTCAAACTCGATCAAAAGCTACATACCGACGTATTACCTTGCTTAGTGCTGCACATTCTCTCTAATCTCACAAATTAATAATGAATCCTGAATCGTGAGCACTGCTGAATTCACTAATTGCTGTTTCTATTTTTGTAAAGATGCAATGTTTTCATGGTTGATATATTCCTACTCCCTCTCGCGCTTTTTTTTTTATATCACATCCTTCTCTGTCAACATCCAGGCTGCTCTACAAGTGCTCCTCGTGTTAGAGAGCTTGTACGGCTCTCCTCAACGCTGACATTGTTCTAGTACATTAGCTCATGTCTCCCTACTTAAATATGCCACAGCAAAGCTGCCACAGCACAGAAAACAGGGCCGCTGAGAATTGCGCTACACTTCATACCGTTTACGCCAGAGTGTGGAAATAGGGCTGTACTGTAAATATAAAGGAGACGAATGACATGTGGGACGAGCGAGAGGGAGGATTTGTTCCCAGTGAGAGACGGAGATAAGAAGCTCCTCCATTGTGAAGCGTCCTTTTCATGTATGTAGCCTTAAAGTGCTGTTGGTGGCCTAGTTTCTGTGGCTATATTTGAAATGTCAGTTTGGACAGCTGAAAAGGTTTCACTAGCACGGAGAATATTTGTTGAAATCAGTGGATAGTATTTGTATGTTTTCTTGCCTCTAGCTTGTGCAGTTATACGCAGCACCCAGTGATGTTTCTTTCACGGGAGACTCCGTTCACCAATAGCTCATATTTGAATTTATTAGCATTAATTACCACATATTAATCTGTCTGGTCTCCGTGTCTATCCAAGGTCATGAAGAAAATCTTAGACATATTGCTTGTAGCTACTACTGTAAAGTCTCCTACTGAAGCAGCTCCCTACACGACTAGGAAATTATGACTGCTACTCTGTTACAGCAGCAGTTCAAACAGATTTGTCATGCCTCTGTGCAGGATGCCGTCACTATCTGCACTCTGGGGATTGGGACGGCCTTCGGGGAGTCCATCCTGGATAACACACCTCGCCACGCTACCATTGTCAGCAGAGAGACCAGCGAGCTGCTGCGGATCGAACAGAGGGAGTTCAAGAGCCTCTGGGAGGTGAGATTTAAAAAAAAAAATTAAAACATTCAAAAAAGGGCATAAAATTGTGAGTATGAGGTGGAACTTCCTGATTCAGCATCAACCGTGAATGTGGAAAGAGCTAGTCTTTGGAGACTGCTATATTTCAGACAGCTTTCTATTGTAGTTGTGCTTTTAGCCACAAGAGGGCTGTCCACCATTATGGTGCCTTTTGTTCCACCTATTGGATACACGCCTCAGGTGACTCAACAAAAAGCTATTTAAAGTACAAGGAGGGAGACAGGGGAGTGTGTTTGTACGATGCATGGCTGTGTATTCTTCTGCGTAGTGACTGGTGTGTGTTGCTTTCCGAGCATGCTGTGATTTAGTGCTGAACAAGAGATTATGCACCAAACCAATGGGCCAAATGCTGCAAATGTGCAGTCTGTCTACTGCAGGCAGTGAGACAGGAATATCTAAAGAGAAGTTAAATGATTCATTAGCACCTTTTTTTATTGTTTCACTTTAAAGCACATTGCATCAGAATATTAGTCTGAGGTTTTATTTTGTGTTTAGGTACCTACTGATTATTGGCAGCATTTTTTACTGTCTTGCAATGATAAAAAAGGAGGTCAACAAACACCATAAGGCAAAGCCAACTGAATGTCATTTTTGTAATCGCCTCTCTCCACCCAGTGAATGCCCGTTCAACGTTCACGCTTGTCTTACCTCCAGTATTCTCTCCCTCTCCTCATTTTTTGCCTCCTCAAACAAAAGGGCTCTTTCTCCTTTTGTTGGAGTTTCCACAGTTATTCTGATTGTTCCACTGTTTGCCATTTCAGCTACCTGGGGGAAGCTACTGATAGCTGCGGGGCAAGTAAAAGCTCTAACCTCCTCCTGGTCTGGTTGTGCAACTGCAGATACACTTTGTTTTTGTTACAGATCAAAAGTTTGATTTGTACCCTGTGCCAGACAGAGATGCATCACGAAAGCAAGGCTTAGAGTGAACCAGTCTAATCACTAATAGCGTCAGTATTTTATAGCCCTTATATTGTACAATCAACACGATAAGTTAAAGCAAAAAATTTGTCTCTTGTCACTTTAAACATTTAGACAAGATGGAAAGGCTTCTGTCTATTATGAGTCAAAATAACCTATTCAGATATAGACAAACAGCAGCACATAAATATGTGCATTTTTCTTTTGTTATGACGACTACAATGATCTGTATTAATATATGTAATTTGATTTTCCACCTCAGAGGAAGTGTCATGTGACTTTAGTGAGGGAGTCTTCAAAACAAAAGCTCAAGGGTCAAATCTTTTATGAAATCAGAACACATTTACAAAATACGTGTTCAAAACACATTACCCAACTCCGTTTCTCTAAAGTGTAGGAGTATGAAGATCAGTTTGTCAGTATGACTAAATAATGAGTTGTTTAAGTATGTACATACAGCTGTCTTACTTAACAGTGAACTTCTGGGTTGCTGCAGCAATTATCTCTCCTTTTCAGCTTAACCCTCTGAACCGCTAACACTAAGTTTCTGAAGTTTTTTTGCTCCGGACACATTTTTACTCATTTTTCACCACGATATAAAATCCTGCACGTCTATGGAAACAGCAGAAGTACAGAGAACGCAAAGATGTTTTTGTGTAGTGTGGCAAAGGTTTAATGCAGGGGTGTCGAACGCCGGTCCTCGAGGGCCGCAATCCTGCAAGTTTTAGATGTTTCCTTCTTCCAACACACCTGATTCAAATGATCAGGATCGTTATCAGGCTTCTGCAGAGCTTGATGATGAGCTGATCATTTGAATCAGGTGTGATGGAAGAGAGAAGCATCTAAAACATGCAGGATTGCGGTCCTCGAGGACCGGAGTTCGACACCCCTGGTTTAATGCCATAAATCATAAAAAGAAAAAAATAAAATAGTGGCTCTACATGCCAGAGATATTTTACGACTTACATTTTTTAATTGTTTCCATACTTATCTCCTGTTGACTCAGTATAAACACAACCTGCAGTTCAACCCAGCTCAGCCTAAAATTGTTGATTTTTTTTTTTTAACATGTCTGTTAGTTACAGCTGAGCCATTAATGGGTTCTCAGTATTTTTAGTTTTTTACAGAATCTGTTAGAATGAGAGTTTATCATGTAAACCAAACCAACCAAAACAGAACCTTTTGGATTTGATTGACTGAAAAGGACAAGTCAAATGAGTTATTTTTGACAGAATAATGTGGCAATGGCACGTCATAGATGCGCGGTTCATGGAAAGTTTAAAAAGTTGAAAATCTGACATTTCTATTTTTATAGTTTCTTGCTTGCTGGTGGGTTTTGACGTTCAGAGTGTTAAACATGAAAAGGTCACGCACTGGAGGCTTCACAGACGGTCTGATATTGGTATACTGCAGATATAACTGAATGACTAATGCGTTTGCAGAATATAGAAGTTCAGTGTATCACACAAACTCGTTGAATCACTGCTAGCATGGCTTTGGCCTGGGCACTGGCCTCTTCTTTGAGAGCTGGCATTGTAGTAGCTGCCTCTCTGTGGGCCTCCTTGGTGACGCTGCCGCCTCTATTCACTGGGTCCAACTCGGAGAGGAAGTCCTGGCAGAGCAGTGCATCAGTCCGCTGTAGCTTCACAGTCAACACCCAGACCGGTGTGTTCTGATGACCTGTGTTTTTCAGTCAGTCAAATCTAAAAGCTTCTCTTTTTCTTTGACATGATGAGATATTTTAGTTTGTTTTTTTTCCCGCAGTTATATAAATTGTGGTTTTCATGCTTGTAATTGTCGGGAAACTGTTCCTTTGCTTCATTTTGAGGTCACAGCGTCTTGCTCCAGGGTAATGCCGCACCTTAAAATCTAGTATGAATCAGAAGTTTTCCTTTTAAAAATAACATGTATATGCGTCATGTTATAAATAAGGACTGACTTGTGCTGCACTTTGAATCTGAATTTTTCCTCTTGTTATACGTGGGTGAAACATTTTAAACCCTTCTATGTCTATAAGGTGGTTTTGGCAGCTTTACTTCTCTTAGTATCTACCACACTGTTGCCATTCATGAAAAAAGCAATGACCCCTTCAGTATTATCACTGGGGGAGAAGAAATTTGATTTGCTGAAATGTGACATCTCCATTTTATGCCACAGGAACATGTTATACCAAGATAAGATGATAATTGCTTATTAAAGCATGTGTGCAGTTTATAATTGGGCTTGTTGTGCGTTTGTTTATCAACTAAGTGCACTCTTCTTCTCCGCCGTCTATTTTAGGACAGTGGACATAAAGCAGAAAACGTAGCCCGAGGTTGTCCTATTTTGAATCTTATCCAGCTCGTAGTAAAAGGATCTTTGTGTTTTATAAGTGTGTCAGTGTGCGCGGGCTAATTTGTGTGCATGTGCTTGTGTGTGGAGACGACTAGAAAGCCACAGGATGAATACAGTCATCTGTTTGATCAAAGGATGAAAGAAAAAGCAGCTCCATAATTCTAGCAGCAAGCAAAAGTGAGATGAATGAGCAGGGTGTAGACGCAGCTTGTTCCTTACAAATACGTGCAAACTAACAGTGTATCCAGCGATTACTGCCGATAATTGACTGCTTGGTATTCTAAGTGTTTCTGACTTTTTCTTTCCTTATTTACTCATCAGTTCTTTTTCACCTGCTCTACGTTTCTCATGCCCACTTCCTCTCTCCTCAATTGGCCATGTCTCTTTTGCCAGCCTCCTTCCTTTCCTCCTGCCCTCCATCCTTATCCTCCCTCCTCCTCCTCCTCCTACCCCTCCTCCTCCTCCTCCTCCTCCTCCACCAGAGTAGCTCAGTAATACAGGGACTCAGATCACCGTGGTAACCTGTGAGAGAAAGTGGTTTGGTTCTTGGCTTGATCGCAGCGAGAGAGGGCGAGCGAGAGACTGAGACAGACACTGGGGTGACTGTGTGAGTGGAAGGGAGAAAGGAAAGGAAGCGAGCAGCTTGTTTTAAGCAGGATGCTATCCGGTGGCGTGTGTGTGAGTTGTGAAGGAGCAGAGGGCAGCTCTATGGGGTTTCAGTCCCTCCAGCATTAGGCAGCCGAGTGTGTTACCTCAGGTGAGTCTGACTCCTCGACTGTACCTGTGTATAGTCTGTTGCGGGCGAGACACTGTTTGACTGTAATATTTGCTTTTTTTTTTTTTTCATATTTCTATTGTCTTTTCACAAAATGAAACCAAAACTCCCTGGAATTGTTTTGAACTGTTTGCCTTTAATACTGGGTTGTTGGAATAGTTTATCTTCCCGGCTCTGTGTGTGTGTGTGTGTGCAAGAGAAACATGGATAGGAGAGCGTTTGTGTCTTTAGGTCAAACAGATGCTCTCTCTGTTCCTCTCTCTGTCAGTGTGTGTGTTCCTGGCAGTCCTCAGAAGGCATGGGCTGCTTGATAATAACCTTGCAGAAGAGCGGTGACACATTCAGGCTCGAAATGACTCGCTGTGTGTATTTCAATACCTCTGCTACAAACGTGTATCACAGTTTATTGTTCTTAACAGCTGTAAGAATAGCATCTGTACACATTCAGCAGCTTAACCCTCGTGTAAAAGCTGCTGCTGCTGCTGTGTGTGTGTTTGAGTGTGTGTGTGTATTATATAATGTTAGTTGTTCTGCATGTAAATGATCTTGGTTGTACAAAAGGCTTTGTTTTGAGGGGCACTTGTGCTTCTGTGTGCAAGTAACATTGTGCGCCTCAGGGAGAGACACCAACAGCAGTAATGGGTTTTGATGTTTAAAAGATGATGATGCTTTATAAATGAAACATCACAGCAGCAGTGGAGGTGTAAATGTTTTCAACACTGACGTGGACTTATGTGTGCTGTCTTGTAGAAGTACCGTCAGAGCCTGGCTGGACTGTTGGCCCCTCCTTATGGAGCCATGGAGAGCGGATCCAACAATGACCGTGAGTAGATGCACAAATGCACTCATGGGAAAGGAAGACACACTTTGAATGTTGCTGATATGGTTAATTGATGGAATGTTTAGTTGTACAAACAAACAGTAAAGGGAAAATGTGCAGTAGATGTCAAAAGTTATCTTTTTATAAAAACCAGGCAGCGAAGATGTTTTGTATAATGGCTCAAACATGAAGCAGAAGCACTTTAAAAACATTTTACATCTGTATTATGAAATGCTCCTACTTCTTTTTTGAGTTGTAATACGTCTCGCTCATGTGTTGTTGTCTTATGCAACAGAACATCCCATTATGTTTTGCCTCAGATGCTATGTCATTTGGTAATTTATACATCTAAATGAAAACTGACAAATCAACTAGCCTGATGACAGTTTTCTCCTCAGGACTCACAGACAAAGACAACATGAACTCAGACTCTGCAAACAAAGTTCACAACAAGGTAAATCCTTCCTCCCGATCACAGTGAAGGCCTAAAGGTCTGTTTTGAAATAACTGAGGAATTAAGTCGAATCAATGAACCAAACTGTAAAGCAGCATACTGTGGCCAGACAGCCTCTATCTTGAATTTCCGTTTGCCTCTCTGCTTGTGTCACAATATCTTTAGGGTGTTTGGGCAAAATGTATATTTTAGCGTCACATGTTAGATGCAGATAGAAGATCAGTGTTTTTAATGTCTGAAACAACCTTGTGGTTAATTTCTGGAACTGAAAGATACTTGCTTCTTCCAGCGTAGAGAAGACGTAGTAAACGCGTCCATGGTGTCATAAGCTGTTTTTCCACGCTGCATACTTTCATGTTTGTGAATGAAGCGTAGAAAAGAATAGATTGTGGAGGTGCATGTGGATTCAGAGCAGAGACCAGTGATGACTCACAGCTGTGATGCTCTGTAGTTATGCTAATGCTAACTAATGCATGCACATAGAAGAAAGATCCCATCTGCCCAATTAACATGCCTTCCTTTGTTGTTTTCAAAAGCAGCTGTGTGCGTGTACACATCTGTCATTTTCCTGTCTGTCTAAGATGCAGGTGTGATCTGTAAAGGATGTGTCTGCTTGTATGTACTGTGTGTTTTGATGCCCTTTAACTGATATGAGTGATAAATGCAATTAGTAGCCTTACCAACAATCTGCTGTGGACATATTCACTTACCTCACACAAATCCAATTAATTAGGGTTAATGGTCAAAATGATTTAATTGCGACATTTTCCTGCTATTTTACAAGAATGAGTCGTGAATATTGTAGCAGGATATCCCAACCTTGGCTTCCTTTTTCTTGTAGATTCCCTCAGAGAAGCTGCAGAGAGCAGGAAAAGTTCTCCGCAACGCCATCTTGTCCAGAGCCCCGCACATGATTCGAGATAGGAAGTATCACCTCAAAACTTACAGGTTTGTGAGCCTACTCCAGCTGTGTGCAAAGTTATGAGCATGCAAGGGGCTAGAGGACATTTTCTGTGGGTTCAGTGTTTAGACATTTACAAAAAAAAGGAAAACTCTCTGCATTTATTGCTGTAATAACATGTTACATGTGTACTGCAGACAATGCTGCGTAGGCACAGAGCTGGTGGACTGGTTGGTGCTGCAGAGCGCCTGCGTGCTCACACGGTCCCATGCTGTTGGGATGTGGCAGGCACTACTAGAAGAAGGAGTGCTTAACCATGGTAACTACAACTTTTTCTTGTCATGCTGTTCAGTTTAATGCCATATGTTAGTCCTTATGACGTACTGCAGTCGATTCCCAAACCTCTGCTAAGCTAAAGAAAGCAGGAGAATGAATTTGACATTATCCTTGTTTTACTGAATGCATTGTTCAGTTTATAAATTATCAATTGTTATTGAAAGTATGAATTGAAAATGAGTTTCAGGCTAAAAAGCAAAGCATCACTGTTTGACGTCTGAGTTGGAGCGTGAGCTTTGAACCTGGACATCAATCACAGTCAGAGTGTTTGCATGAATACCAGAGTGAGATTTAATTACATCTTTTTTTTTTAAGCTTAAACATAAAATATGGATTGATCTCCAAGTCATTCACTTCAAAAAACACGTCTTGAAATGATGTTCTGACACATTAAAACAACATCTGCGAGCACGTACACTATGTGCCTTTAATTGGCCACGTGTGTTTTTCTGCCCTTCAGTGGACCAGGAGCTCGGTTTCCAGGACAAGTACCTGTTCTACCGTTTTCTTGACGATGAGGATGAAGACACACCGTTACCTAGTGAGGAGGAGAAGAGGGAGAGCGAGGAAGAGCTGCCAGAGACCATCCTCTTTCTCGCTCAGATCGGCCCTGACGCACTGCTGCGCATGATCCTCAGGAAGTCGTCAGTAACAATCAATCATAGTACATTACAGTACTTATAATACACTGTTAATGCAATCCACTAGCATATTATAGTAAACAAAAAAGCTATTACCTACTGGTTAGACATTGATTTAATACCGTAAATACAGTAGGTCAACAAGTTTTTTTTGACTGTATATCACTTGACTTAAGTCCAGAGAACTAATATAACCATTTACTGCTGGTTTTCATGCATAATTTACTGTTCTGATTTTTATTATAGTTCAGTTATACTGGAGAGTTAGCTAATTAAAACAAATGTAATCCAAAACAAGTATTTATAATATACAGTGTTGTGTGTTAAATAATAAGAGCAAGTTATCTGTTCTGACCAATTATTGGCTGTACTGAATTATTTTAGTATTAGGATGTGTCATGCTAGTTTTCCTTATGCATGATAGGAGGTGAAGTGCACACATGAAATCTTGGTGGTGAGTTCATTCTGACTAACCTCTGTGTGTCTGTAGGCCTGGTCAGAGGACAGGGGATGACCTAGAGATCATCTATGATGAGCTGCTTCACATCAAGGCCTTAGCTCACCTCTCCAACACTGTGAGTCAGCCGCTCCACTTCTGTTTTAAAGGGACAGCACAGGTTATTAGGAAGGCTGCTAATACATCAGAACCACTTGTCAAAGTGAACAGCCTGTTTAAAGCAGTACATTAAGTTTTTAGTTTGTCACGCCACAGAAAACTGTTATTAACAACTCCATGAAAGTTGAATGATTAAAAAAGATAAAAAATAAAATAAAGGCAAGTATATCAAATGGGGTTTCAAATTGACAAAAACAGAAGCAGTATTCTCTTCTCTGAGCCCATATGAACTGTACCGTTTGTGCAAACAGATCTGTGTTTGTTTTTAACCGAATCGAACAGGTTTCATGTGAAATCACAAAAATGGGAATATTTTGTCCCTGTGCAGCTGTGGCCTACTTGCTATAATACACTGAACACAAGGTATTTTACACTCATTGGTGGGTGCATGCAAAACGAAATGATAAAGGCAAGATAAGGAGATAGTGAGCTCAGCCCTCTTCACCAGTAGCACATTATCCATGATACATACAAAATGCGAAATGGTCACCATCTATGTGGCTCTTCACAAAATCAATCCACTGCTTCATTGTCTTAACATTTTTAGGAAATTTCAATAAGGATGCTGAGTTGTTCTGCAAATTCTCAAATTTGTAGAGATAGCTAGGAAACTCTAGGCTGCAGTAGGTGTCACAGCTGAGTAGGTAAACCACCGATGTTGATGCACTCTAGTTTTTCTAATGTTATAGTGTTAAGGGTCATGGAAAGTGTGGCTTCAGTATGTCGCTGAGCCATGATTTCTATCCAACCCAAAAAATCCTGAACACATCAACGATGACAAATAATTTAAGAGTCTAACACCACAGTTTGGGACAACATTGTTTAGTCTTTCACATGCTCTCAGTAATTTTGTTCTCATGTGTATAATGTGCTTAAGTTAGTATGGGACAGAGTTTGTTCTATGCTGGCAAATAGTCACCATGTGGAGGAGAACCTAAGTCTGTGCTGCCTCAGCAGTGTTTTTGTTTTTCCCTACATTGAATTCACTCCTAACATAAGAATTACATGTTAAATCATTAGAAGCAGCCTCATTGTTACTGCATTGCAAATTACATTCCTGGAATTAGCCAGATCCGTAATGAAGGCCCGACAAATTAGGCTTTTTAACTTTTTAGCAAGTTTTAAGTCCTATTGACGGCCATGATCCTTCATAAAATAGGGCTTACCAAGTTTCTTTGTGCTTTCATTCAGTCTTTTCAAGATAGTTTAGTCTGCTAAAAACGGCATCTTTTTAACTGTAGCATATAATAAGTATAATATATAAGTATAATAAGTACCTGTAAAAGTTCTGTTCATAATGCAGAAATGTAATTTAACATGTATCCTGTTATATATACTGTGAATGTACAGTACAGAGATGAGGCAAAAATGATTGAATCATTTTTTATGATGATTCTAAGGACTACTTGGTTACTTTAATCATATCCAGAAACCCTGATCTCTGTATTTTCTTGTTCTCTCACGTTTTTCTGCAGTGCAGCTAAATCCAAGATGACCTGAGTTTTGAAACTGTGTGTGTTTTGCAGGTGAAGAGGGAACTGGCAAGTGTAGTGATCTTTGAGTCACATGCAAAAGCTGGAACTGTGTGTGAGTCTTCCTTTGTCCTGCAATGCATTTTTGTTCATGCACACATTGTACAGCAGTTTTTCCAAAGTTTGTCACTGGTTTGACCTCGGACAAAACTGATACAGTTAAGGAGACGCGCATGTGGTCGGGACACTCTGAGCCTCATGACTGAGAGAAAATGTTAATAGTGCAGTACTCAAAAGTTCATATTTTGATATTTTGATTTCTTCTCTCTTCTCGTGATTTGGTACGTAATCATGCTTGACACAGATCTGCACCGTTAAGGCGAATTTTCTGCCTGAAGCAGCAGCTTTGTTTTGCTGTTTACTATTTAATGTATTTGTGGTTGTTGATTTGCTATGGACACTGGTGATAATTGTATCCCCAGGAAGTGTAAGCTGAATCTAAAGATAACTGTATCATGCGTGTGAGTTTACATTTGGCTAAGAGCACAAATTGTGACACTAACATGACTCCCCCATAGACTCTTGACCCTCTGCGGAGGCACACCTCATAGCTTACTAACCTCTGGCATGTGTTGGTCTTGTATGTGGGGGTAACGTGTTTGTTTTGTTTGTCTTCCAGTGTTCAACCAAGGAGAGGAGGGCACATCATGGTACATCATCCAGAAGGGCTCTGTTAATGTGGTTATCTATGGCAAGGTATGTGGTTGTGCTTTCTTTTTATTTGACACACGGCATTGTTGTAGTTTTCTGCCTCATTTGCTGATATTTCATCTGCATGTAATGGATTAAAAGAGTACCTCATCATGTCTGTATGGAGCAGAGCAGCAGTGTTTGCCCTGTGGGGATGGGAAACACCAGCAGTGGAGTTTGGAAAACTCTGCACAGCTCATCATGACTCATCACTGTGATTAAGTGGCTTAAGGGATTGTACACATACACAAATTCACAACCACTGTACAGGCAAAATGCACACACATTGATCACACATGTACATACACAAGTGCATGCACACAGGCAGGCACAGATGATTCATCCCAGTCCTGGGTGTTCTTGTTCCTTTTGGATTTTTCTTCAGGGCTTAAGATGACTTCCAAACTGTGTTTGTGTCTGAGCTTGTTTGTATCTTGCTGCGTGTTCGTCTACGTGTGCATTCATGCGTGTGTGTGTGTGTGTGTGTGTGTGTGTGTTTGTGTGTGTACTGTATCTCTCAGGGTGTGGTGTGCACGCTTCACGAGGGCGATGACTTTGGAAAGTTGGCCCTGGTTACAGATTCACCTCGCGCTGCCTCCATCGTCCTGAGAGAGGACAACTGCCACTTCCTTCGTGTGGATAAGGAAGACTTCAACCGGATACTCAGGGTGGGCAGACATTTATCCCCGATTGTGATGCAAGTGTGGTCACACCAGCTCCAATATGTTTGCAATGCTGCTATTAGAAATGTATAAACAAATCAGAATATAAATACAAATTATCTGCACCACATGAATCAAGGCAAAAGGGAGACACATCTAGATCCGTCTTTGAGTCTGTCTGAGGCGTTTCATTACATCATGTCACTGTGCGACGCTGCCTGACTGTGATGTTTGTCTCCCTCCTCTGACACATGAGCTGTACTGCACTTGAAATGTCTTATTTTTGCTGATTTTCTTCGTCTTGTATTTTTAGGATGTGGAAGCCAACACAGTGCGTTTGAAAGAGCACGAACAAGCTGTGCTGGTGTTAGAAAAGAGTCCTCGAGCCTCCACACTGGGAAGCATCAAGTATGTGTGCGTGTTTATGGCACATATCTGCATATAACACCTACAGACAAACCTAAAGGTACATAAAAATGTGTCTGAATAACAATAATAATAGATAAAAAGCAACTCTTTGTGCGTTTTGCAGATACACTGTGATATCAGGAACACCAGAGAAGATTCTTGAACACTTCCTGGAGACGATGAGAATGGACATACATCACAGTGAACCAGGTAGCCTCACAGAAAAATATGAATGCTCGTCAATCTAAGTTGGATTGAATTGATTGAATTTTTGTGCAACACACTGCTAGTAATTATATATTGAAAGTTGTGCATATATCACAAACTATGACTCTGTGATATTGTTTTTTTAAATTCTGTAAACAAATATTTCTTCAGCGTTATCGTTTCTCTTAAACAACACATCTCTGTTGGACCTCGTTTATTCACTGAGGTGTTATGCTCTGTTCTATGTACCTTTTGATTTAGTTTAGAAAAGTTAATTTTTAAATTTCGTTTTGAAGGATGAGCAACCTTAGTTTATATTTACTCTTCATCCAGTCCTTTCATTCAAACTTAATGTAGCTTTAACATACCAAAGATAGTACAGACACTTGATCAAACAGATACACGCTCAGGATCGATGCATTCGTGATGAATGGCAATATGTCCGACTTTAGAAACTCTTGATTCTTTTGCACTCCTGCACTTCCTGTTTCACCCTGATTCTTCTTCCTCTCGCTGTTTTCCTTCTCACCCGTTAGACCCAGCAGTGGATGATTTTGTCCTCATGCACTGTGTCTTCATGCCCAACAGCCAGATGTGCCCTCTACTCATGGCACAATATCCTTTTCTGCCTTTATTCTGTCTTGCTCTTGTTTTGGTTTGCCGTACTTTCCTCCTAATTTAATAATTAAGTCGCGACATCTGTGTACATCGCACATCCGTGTAAGACATTTTTAAAAAAACAGACTTTTTGTTTGATATTTATAACCCGACTATACAACATGTAACTGTAACGGTGTTACAGACGGCATACAAATTGTGAAGCTTCCCAGTTGTGCTCATGGGGGCAGCAGGTGACCATGAAGCACTAATGAACTGCGCTATGTCACCTTCACATCTTAGTAACAAGTTGTAATCCCAGATGCACTTGTGTTTTCTTGGTGTCTTCAACACTGTAGTGCAAATGTGGCAGAGTTGCAGTGAACTTGCTGACATCTTTGCTTAATGGTGTGAAAACTGCTTGTATTTAAGCTTAATGGACTTCCTCCAATGGAAATCTAGTTTTCCCCCTTGTTCGTATGGTGTTTTTTATATTACAAGACATATCGTGAGTGAAATAAGCAGTCAAAATAATGGCTGAGGAGTTTCACCTTGAAACAGTGTGCTGATGACTGTGTGAAAAACATGGATTTCTGAGGTTCCATATGTAACAAACCTAAGGAACCAATCCTGCAAACTACTTTCCTTATAATTGTTTTTCAGAATCGGTGTACTTGTCATTGTTTAAAGTAGTTGTGGCAGAGTTTTAGTTGAGCTAGAGGCTCGAGTAGCATCAAGCAGCAGAGGGATGGGTGGAAAAAGAGGAAGGGTTTGCACATTGTAGAGAAAGCAACGGTGGAGATTTAAAATTAAGCCATTTAAGGCAGGAAGGGATTCTCTTCATTCACGCTAAATGTGTAGGGTGTAATAAATGACTAGAGAGGGACTTTACAAAGGTCAGAAGGCCAGGGCTCATCTTTATTAAACACAAATCATTGGGATGCCTCCAGCTGTTTCCTTGATCGAGTGTGAAGTTGCGCCTGATAAACAGGGGACCTCTTATCATAGGCTGCATTAAAACATGGATTTAGCTGCTGTGACTATTGATGATTTAGATTCAGGCTGCAGTCGTGCAGGTTTTGATCACTTGACAAATTGAACATCGCCATCTGTCGGTGTTGTTATTGTACCAGCTTTGTAAAACCTCCGTATTTACCTTTAACCCTGTGTGCACCTACCATGCGGCATCTCCGCCTGGCTCTGAGCAGGAGAGGTTGGAGTACGCACTCAACAGTAAGAGGAGGGCCCTCATCCTGGCCCTGCGCTGGGCCAACACACACACGTACATGCTGCAAGAGGAACCTGCTGCAATCTCTTTCCTGGAGGTGAGAAGGAGCTTTTAAATGCAATAAACTGAACTACTTACACAGATTCTTTGCACAGTCTGAGTGCTTCTTCCTGTCTGTCTGTAGGAGTTGTATGGAAGTTTATCAAATGATTCCCGGATGCTGAGAGCTCTGAAAGATTTGGTTCCCGACCTGGAGAAAGTCGTCAAATTACAGTATGTTTCTCAGTATCTGCAGTTTGAACTGTCGTTGCGATGCTTTTGTGTAGCAGCCTCATTTATTCTTTGACTTTTTCCGTTTCGTAGCTCAGAAGAGGCCAAGTCAGCAAAAAAGGTAAGCCCAGACTGTTATGTTTAACATTTTAATAGCGCATTTTGCATGTTAGCGTAAGAGTGATGTGGATTCTGTCATAAAACTCAACAGAAGACTCTAATACGACAGTTCAGCAACGGAGAGGAGAGGCTGCAGAAGAAACAGCCCATTAGGAATCAAGATGACAGTGAGTTGAGCTGCGTTTGTGTGAAAATTATTTTTGTCTTTTACTCTACTAGTGACGGGGCCCTGAGGTGCAAGATATTTTTACATCTGTCTGCTAGATGTGCAATTTCATCTGGATATTCATGTCCTCAGATGACAGATGTATTATTTTGGAGATCCTGACCTAATCCTGTCATGCTATCATCACAGCACAACATTTTGTTTGTACATGTAATACAGTCTAATGGACAGACTGACATGAAACTCATTGAGGAAAAGTGCTTTGTGATTGCTTTCTTTTTATTCTCTGGCAGCTGTTATGATCTCTGCTTAGTTTTCTGTCATTCTCAGGAATATTTTTAGTTTTTTTAATACTTTTTTCTTTTTGTCATAGACTTTTAAAGCTTTGTTAAGAAAATTGCTACAGAAATAAAGTTTATTAGCATTACGATAACAATATGGAATATGGAAAAATCAACAATAATCAATAATCCAGATTGTTTTTCTGCCATTTGTGTGTGTGGCAGCTGACCAAGCTCATCCAAGGAAAGACACAAATTATCTCTCGTACATAACTGACACAGCGAAAGCAGCAAGGTTAGGTTTTTTGGTGTAAATACTGGGTGAGCAGCTCTGATTGGAATCATAAATCCACAGCTCACAGCAAAATCTTCTTCAAATCTTGCATTAATTACTTCTGTATTGTTTGGTTTATGTACAGGACCAATAAAAAGTATTCACCCTGTTTTCACTTCGACAAAAAAGAGTCTCCTTGGAAATTCTTGTCAAAAAAGCCAAATTAAATTGAACATGATTCAATGTGGACTGCAAGGTGGCTCGGTGGTTAGCACCATTACCTCGCAGCTGGAAGGTCGCCGGTTCGCGTCCCAGTTAGGATACCCGCGATCTTTCTGCGTGGAGTTTGCATGTTCTCTCTGTGCAGCGTGGGTTCTCTCCGGGTTCTCCGGCTTCCTCCCACAAGGTCCAAAAACATGTTCATTGGTGATTCTAAATTGTCCGTAAGTGTGAATGTGAGTGTGCTTGGTTGTCTGTCTCTAAGTGTCCTGTGAGGATTAAGCGGTGTATAGAAAATGGATGGATGGTTGATTCAATGTTGAAAAGCAATAAAAGGTTAAAACTTCAGAGGAGGGTGAATACTTTTTATAGACACTGCATCTTTATTTTGTTCAATAGAAATCCGTAGCTGTCACGTACCATAACATTGTATTTCATTGCTATTTTTGCATGTGTGTGTAGTCCTGTTGAAGGTGTACTGCAGCGATCACACTTACACCACAATCAGGGTTGTTGTGGCAGCGACGGGAAGAGAAGTGGTCAGCGCAGTGACCGACAAACTTGGCACCACTGAAGAGCTCCTGTTGGTCCACCTCAGCTCTGCTGGTGGTAAGAAGACACATCGTCGTAATTGTAAAATGGCATTTCCCAGCAAAATCACCGACATAATAAATATCAGTAGTTGATTTATTTCTAAATGAAGACTGTTGCCTGCGTGTACTCTATGTGCTGTGAAAATAAGAATCAGGGTTTGAAGTATGCAAAATAAAAATGGTGATAATAGAACATGACCTGTGCCATAATGTTGGGATGTATATTGATGAAAGAAGCTAAAGTATCCCTATTTTTGTTCCAGAAAAACAAATCTTGAAGCCTAATGACGTCTCAGTGTTTTCGACTTTGAGCATCAATGGCAGATTATTTGCTTGTCCTCGAGAACAGCTCAACAGTCTGGTAAGAGACTTAATGTTTCCCCTGTGTGCTTGGATCATGCTGTTATTAAATGCGGGTTAAGCTAATGTCTGGCAGGAAATAGTTATTGTGATTAATGTTTGTGCAACGGATGATGAGACATGTACAAGAAATGTTCCTAATATTTAGAAAAATGTGGCTTTTGAGCAATGACAATGTGTTTACTGTACACACAGTGAAAAATCTGCAAACTTGCTCTGTAAATACATGTTAATTTGAAGTTTCTGAACCTAGTGTGTGCTTGGGAGTTCATAAAAATGTGTGCTTCTGTGTGCGTCAGACTCCTCTAGCAGACCAGGAGGGTCCCTCTGCAGGCTCCATGTCCACTTTTGAGCTGATGAGCTCCAAGGACCTGGCTTATCAGATGACTATGTATGACTGGGAGCTTTTCAGCTGTGTACACGAGGTACTGTGTTCATGAATGCACATAGCTAATGCTGCAGAGTCTTTTTACACTTTCAAATGGCAAGAAAAAAATCTGCAATCATATAATGGAGTCAGAGTATAGAGATGCAAATAGATTTGTGCCCTGCAAAAAACACCCTACAGCAGTGACGCTTGATAGATACAGGGTGGCAGGACGTGTCCACTGCATTTCATCTGAACCTGCTCTCCCCGTTCTTTCCTCTGGCGGCTCCCACAGCACGAGCTGCTCTACCACACGTTTGGCCGCCAGAGCTTCAGACGAACCACGGCGAATCTGGACTTGTTCCTGAGGAGGTTCAACCAGGTCCAGCTGTGGGTGGTCACGGAAGTCTGCCTGTGCAGTCAGCTCAGCAAGAGAGTCCAGCTCCTCAAGAAGTTCATCAAGATAGCCGCACAGTGAGTCGAACCTGCTGGTGAACGTGACACGCTGGGCTAGATGAAGCATTTCTCACAGGCAGTAGAAAAATAATCTATTGTTTATTTTCAAAATCTAAGTTACAGCATGCTTCACAAAGGACACAAAATAAAACGGACAAGTCATAACTTTATTAGGACATAAAAGATGGCTGATAAAAATTCAGTAGGAAGGTTCAGGACAGCTCAAAGGAAATTAAAGCTCATGCATAATCAGGAGAGGCTCAAAATTATGTTTGAAGAAGGGACTTATAAAGAGGTCACTGACTGAGCTGACCTGATTTCCTCGGGCAGATCATTCAGAAGCCTCAGGACTGTGAACGCTCTGTCCTCTTTAGTTGTAGCCGGGCCTCTGCAGCAGACAAAAGAACCGAGGATCTCAAAGTTCTCACAGGCATGTGCGGTACTGAGAGGTCAGAGACGAGTCAAGTTAGGAGAGAGACAGACCATTAATGGCCTCGAAAGTAATCAGTAAAATCTTTACCAAAACATTCTGGAGCCAGTGTCAAGAGGCTAAAACAGGATTAATGAGATAGTGTCTGTTGGTTCTGGTTAAAAGCCTGTGAGCCCAGTTTCATACAGAGTGGAGTCAATCAACAGATCTTTGGTTCTTTTTGTAAAAAGGTAAATTGGGTTTCCTTGTATTCACTTTGGTTCCCGCTTGTGTGTATTTGTCTGTAGCTGTCGAGAATTTAAGAACCTGAATTCATTCTTTGCCATCATCATGGGGATGAGCAACCCTGCTGTCAGCAGACTGAGCCAGACATGGGAGGTAATCCTCACTGAAAGACTTTTACTGTCCATAAAATACGACACTCAGTCTCCTGTCACTGAGATCTGATCTGGGTCTGTTTTTACTGGCAGAAACTCCCCACCAAGTTTAAGAAGTTCTATGCCGAGTTTGAGAGCATGATGGTGAGTTTTATTTCGCAAACACTTTATGGATCGCATTTCATTACAGTTTTAAACATTTATTTAACCCTTATTACAAAAAAATAAAATAAAATGTTATTTGCGCAGCTTTTGAGAAATGTCTCAGTGACACCTTAGAATGAGAGTTTCTGGAAAGAAATGCTCCTTTTAAATTGCCCATCTACTTTTTAGTGGTTCATCACAATTTAATTAAAAGATAGAAAAACTAATTGGATGTCTATATAGCACTAGTTTCAGGGAGAAAATGGGTGTTACCTTTAAATGTTTTACGCCTTGTCCACATTATATTTTTTATAACAGTTTTGTTCTCCTTCTTCCTCCAAAAAAAAAAAAATAAAATTCTAATCTACATTTAAACTTTACAAACACGAATGTAGCCCTGCTGTGAGCACGCTAAACCAACAGGCGGGGGTATAACCATAAAGCCATGCTGCCCAATCGCTGGCACTATCCTGGCCCACATCCACTTTGCACAGAGTTACTTCCTGTAAACAAAGGAGGCAACAGCACACACTCTGATTATCACATCCCAAACACTCCCTCTCCACATGTCAACATTGCAAAGAGAGTTTCTAAAAATCTTCACACTGGAAGGAGTTTTATAAAAGGAGTTTTCTGTGATCTAAAACTGCATTTGTGTGCGTGTGAAAACCCATCGAAACACCCTTGTATACATGTGGACTAGGCCTGGAATTAACACGATTGACTTGTTTTGCACCAGGACCCATCTAGAAACCACCGATCCTACCGTCTTACTGTCACCAAGCTGGAACCGCCAATCATCCCCTTCATGCCCCTCCTTCTCAAAGGTAGGTGGAGACAGATAACATTAACTGCTATATCGTTTAGGATGTAATTATGGAAGATCTTGCTGCTACTAAACGGAGTTATTTCTTTACAGATATGACGTTTACACACGAGGGCAACAAGACATTCATTGACAACATGGTCAACTTTGAGAAAATGGTGAGTTTCTGTGCACGTTGAAAGAACAAGTGACTCATTTGTGGAGTCGTGTTTGCGTTCAACCTAAAGCAATTTTATCTTTGTCCCACCAGCGTATTATAGCAAACACCATTCGGCAAGTGAGACACTGTAGAAGCCAACCATTCAGTAAGTCTGCATGATATTCAAGAGCACACCTGCATCATATTCAAGTGCTGGCTTTGCAGACAGACTTTAGTATTTCTTTTTTTTGTGTTAGATCCCGACATTTGCCAGCCGAACAAGAACCAGGCGGAGGTCCGGGGTTACGTTAGGAAGCTCTGTGTGGTCGACAACCAGAGGGCGCTGACGCAGCTCTCCTACAGGCTGGAACCTCGGCGGACATGAGCTCCAGATCTTCCACCACCATCGCCTTCTCTGTGACGTTAGCATAAAAAAAAAACAACAAAAAAAACCACACAAACACATTACCTGGATAAAATAACTCAACTGGACGTTTAGTAGCAAAATCACAGCAGTCAGTGACTTTAGCACCATTGTGGACTATAATGGATCGAGGATTCATACTGTGCCATTAAAAGCCTCTTCTTCCTGGACAGACAGAAGCTGTTCGGCTGCTCTCTCGTCGCCGTGTCTCAGCCGCCAGACTGAGGGTTTATATCGTACTAGTTATTCCTGTTCGGGACCTGTTAGATAGAAGTGTAATGTATAGAACTTGAATCAATATCCTGCATGACTGAACTTCATAGGCTTTGTGTTCTATACAGTGGATTTCTATCAGAGTGTCCTGTAATGTCGTGCTACCCCAGATGAGCCCTAGTTTACAGTACATGACTGTACCTGCCTGTAGAGCAAACCTTTCTCTCCTGACGGTCCTACTCATAGCCAGAAAACACCGGAAACCCCACAAACTGTAGTGATCTAGACTCTTCATTTTTCCCTGTTGAATATACAGATAACTATAAAATCTCAGAGTATGTATTTACTTCATAATCTAAACAAGTATATCAAAGTCTTTAGGATGTGATGTCCTTTAGGTGAATATCCTTTAATTAGTCGGACACTTTAAAACTACATAACACAGTATTAGCTGAATTGAAGCCCTAATGGTGTTACGAGCAGTGTTCAAATTGATCACTGCTGTATTCTTTTTAACCATAAATCATTCTCGATGACGAAGTTGCCTGGTTGGATCTGTTCTGAGGTCAGCTGCACAACCAAATTGCACTTCTCCGATTTGGACTGATTGTAGATAACAGAGTCTGAAGGTAGCTTCCACTTCGAGGGGCAATCTTGTCATCTCTACCAGTTGTGTTCAGTCTGTGTAATTTTATTTTTGTATATGTGGGTGTAGACTTCGAGTGTGTTCTTGACAAGTGTCATTAATTTTCATTTGATCTCAGGAGCTTTTTGCTGTGATGGTGTGTGTTGAGAACTGCCGTGAGGCTGCCTTTCCCCCCCAAAAGCAGCCTGTAACTGTATTGTATGTGTAGTCTGCCTTGTAAATAAAATAGCTAATTTAACAGTGCTGATGCTTTCATGACGTTCTTCAGAGTGTGAGTTTTCCCCGCAAGTGGTTGGGGCCTGAGGATGATGTTGCTGGTTGGTGTGTCACGCAAAACCCAGAGCAAAATATTTCAACTAGAGTTATGTTGTAGAACTTTTGACATCACTTACATATTTATGATTTACACCAGTTGTAAAACCCAACAAAGGCCTACGTCCCAAATGGCATACTTTATCTTTTTACTTTCAGTTCATCCTGCAGCTGCCCTCACAGGGTACGTACTGTTGCATGTAGTATGCATACAAATGGGACGTACTACTTCATCAGAATGAAGCTCTGGCTGTCTGGCTGATATATTCATTGCAGCCTGTAGTGCAAAATGAGCTGTCATCTGTCTGACTGCTCTCGGCAGCTCAAGCTTGTTTATACTTGTGCAAGACACTGTGACGTATGTGATGCATCTTCTGCCGTGCAGAGGATTGTGGGTTGGAATGGCCAGAAGAGCGTGCAGCAGGCCTGCATACTGTAAAGTGTGACCGGATGTAGTGGGACATCCTGGTATTACTGGCATTCTGCACTTGAGATACTATGTACTGGGACGTACCATAATGTATGCTAGTGTGATTATTGAAAGACATCTTTGGTAAAGACTGGCCTCCTCTTATTCTGATAGAGCCAGTTCTGGAGACACTACAGAAAAGACATCACCTCAGCATCTCTGCTTTGGTTTTGAGGCGACACATTTAAAATGGAACTCCTGCAGTACAAACTGAGCTGTGGGGTTTACCAGGCAGGAAGGATCTCAGGCTGACACTGCAGTTAGCCTCCTGTTTGCATGTCGTGTTATGGTTTTTGAAATCCTCTTTGCTATTGGAAACAACAACTTCCACGCAGCCACCTACACACTGAATGTCTGGAAACGATCTAGATCATGATCAGTTGGCTCTGTTTGGTTATTCTGGTGAGTTAGCCATGACGGCGCTTGACTTCCTCTAACGATTCCCTCTGACACTATTTAGCCGAGGCACCATCTCTGTATCCTGGGCTCAGCACCGCCCGACTGTGATTGGTCTAAAGAAATACAAACAAGTCAGAGTGCTCTTTAGAAGAATGATGATATAAGACAGTGCTGTGGAGATTGGTCAGGCTTTTCGAAACTACTTAATGAGAACTGTAAGATCCATCTGAAGTGTAATTCTAAACCATGAGATGCTTCTTTTCTTGAGGGTGATGCTCTGTCTGATCCTACTTTCTATTGAACTACGCAAAATAAGTTCCTCTGAATGGAAGAAACTTTACTCTGCAGTGTCAGAAATAGAAACAGGCAATATTTAATATTGCCGCAGCCCTTTCAGTCTCTGTACATTTTGTCCGCTGCCACATTTGGGCCAACTCTGCACACTGTGAATGAAATATGACGCATACACTCCTGGTTCAAAGAGGAGGAGCCCCTTAAATTTACATGTTGACTATAAACCTCCTCGCCATCACCCTCACGTAAAAAAAATTTCCATGCACAGATTTGATTTTCTATACAGTACAGGCCAATAGCTGAGCTCACTTCTGCTCCTCAGAGGGGGGGGAAGGAGAAAAAAACAGAATTCTCTAACTCTGCAACCTGTTCTGTCTTCAAGCAGCAACTTCTCTCAGCGTGTTCAACAAGTGTGGTGATTCATGGCGGCCCCTGGGAGCCGCCACGTTGTCATGTTTTATTTACTCAGCGCATCACTACGAAGTTTGCTCTTGATTACTGCGGACGACTGACAAACGCACTAAACTTCCCGCGGCTGATCTCACCTGTCCCTACGCGGTGATGTCAGCGCGGCTATCCTTTCCTTGATGATGTCAGCGGGTCATTCCTGTCGGCTTGAGTAACGCTCTGTCCCCGCCTGGCTTCTCTGGTGAGTGTGCGAGAGAGATGGATTTAGGTGTCTGTGGCCGTCGACCTCCTTGCTAACTGATTTACTATGTTAGACACGCCATAGGCCAGAGCTGTATATCTGAGTGTGTGTCACTGTGTGTGTGTGTGTGTGTGTAGCGTATGTAGAGCTTTATATAGCCACAGCTCCCCAGGAAGAAGGAATGCCCTGGATGCCAGTGACCATATTTGAACAGTGGTGTCTGCTGCAGGGAGACTACACACACTGACTGTAAAACCCCTAACTCACACACACTCACCTCTCCTTCATCTTTGAGCTGTGTGTGTGTGT